GGTTCAAAGTAATTCGCGACGACGATGTTTATGAAAACGATTGGCGTTTTTTCACCCCCCTTGTCGTCTAACAACTATGCATGCTTTTTCCGATACACGTATCGTAAACAGCACGGCAATGGCATGGAACGTGTCGAACAAATCCAAGGAATTGGTGACCACGTTCACGCTGCTCTCGCATAACCACAGTGGCGACTACACCTACTCGTACAAGCAGTCGGCCCGCGACACCGGCCTGCCCTTCAATCATCGCTGCCTCTACCGCGTTCAGCTTTTTCGCAAGAAGTAATGATAAAAAAACAATCTTCTCGCGCAGATAGACGCTTGATACAATTACTATTTGTATAGAAATACGACGACCAAGTCCTGCTACATCAAAACTCTCGAGGATCACGACTACACTTGGGGTTCGAGCGATAGCGTCGAGTGCAAAGTAATAACGTTGTCCGAGTCGTGCGTTTCAAAGAGAAAGAAAAAAAAAAACAAAGCTTTCAACGTTTTTCAGTACACATTTACCGTGACGGAAGGCTGTCCAGATTTTTCCGTCACCTGGACCGATGAATTCAGCCTGGACTCGTCGTCTTACGAGTACTCGCTCTTTCAACCCACGATCCCTCGTCGAAGACCCGACGACGACGATTCGCTCGTAGGCAACGACGATCGTTTTCCAAGGTCCACCAAACAATGCAGTACCGTTGCAAAGGATGATTCGACCGGTAAGACAACAAAAAAAAACAACATCAGTAAGAAATCGTTATTACTAAGCACGAAAGCCTGATTACTCGATCCAAACAGAATCTTTGAGAATCTGTAACAGTGAGTGGTACCTGCAAAAGCTCACCGATACGAGCGAGAACGCCAAGAGACAGATGGTTTATTTGGCCATTGCGAGGAGAAACGAGGATGAGTCGGAAAAAACAGTCAAGCTTCTAACCAAGGGCCACAAGATCGTCGTAAAGGAGCTGCTGGCCGTGAGACTCGTGACCAAAGACGAGGTCGTGGTTTACTTCACGGCCGCCCCTCTAAACTCCCACGGTTATAAGTAAAAATTAAATGCGTGCGCCTTTCATCGGTTTAACGCAATCGATCGCGAATAATTCCGTATTCGTTCTTCGGCGTGTAGATATTTGTATAGCATGAGGATCGCGTTCCCGCCAAAAGACGACAACACGTTGGAGCCGGTGCAGTGTCATACCTGCTTGGAGTCAGGTACAAACGACAACGACAACGACGACGACGTCAACAAAAATGACGCACTGCTACCGGTCGTGGGCCAGAGAACTCAGTGCTCCTGGGCGGATGTCGAATTCTCCTCGGACGCCCTGCACTACATCATCGATTGTTGGTCGGCGAAAAAATTTTCATCGTCGTTATCTCGAGCAATTATTATCATAAAATTACACTCTCGCTTTATTCTTTTCTCGATCACGCAAATACAGGGGTCCCAAGCGGCCGTGGGTCGCGGTCGCGTCCTCGACCACGAATCTCGCGAAGCAGCTGATCCGCTTCGACCGAGCGATAGCCACACCGAAGCGAGGGGAGGACGCGCCGTCGTTGATCGAGTGGCGCGACTTCGAGCGCGACGTGAGCAGCCCCACGAGTCTCACCCTGTACGAGCACTCGAGGCTCTTCGTGCCCACGGGCTGGTTCGAGAACAATCAGTATCGCTGCCAGGAGCCGCTGAGGCTCCTCGTGGTCATGCCGCAGGAGTTGGATCGACAGATGGTTCGCAACGAGTACGAGCTATCGCTGTATCGATACCTGGCCGCACTCGGACCTTTCGCCGTGCTCTACGTCGGTTTATCAACAGTAGCAGTAACAGATTTATTATATAATGAGTTTTCACGTCGATCCGACTTTTGCAGTCGGACTTTGAGAGGAAGCCAAGCGCCGCGGGTGAGTTACTGATGACTCGAGAGGCATTAGATCTGATGGATCGCTCGGCTGCCGTGCAGCACATCGCCGGTAAGTTTGACTGCATCGACCAGGAAGCCATCGGGGTGATCGGCGAGCGTTTCGGCGGTCACATGAGTCTCAAATTCGCCAGCGATCACGACTGCCACTCCAGTTGTCACGTGGCGCTCAAACCATGGACCACTTGGCAGTACTACGTGCACCCGTTCACGATAGAGGTGAGAGGGCGACGTCGAAAAAACCTCGATCGGCAGCAGTATATTGATCTTTTTTTTTTTGCTATGCCAGCCCACCACGGGTGCTTCCGCTGGCTCGCGGCGACGCCACTTCCGGCGCGAGTATCTGCGGCCGCTGGTCAAGGGTCTCGCCGACAAGAGCTTCGCCGTCCAGTTCGAGCCGGCCAAGTCCGGCACCTACGAGAGCGGACTGGTCGAGCAGCTGGAAAAGGAGAAGCTGATGGATCGCGTCGTGCGGCTGGACAGCGACGAGGCCGCGGGCGAGTGCCGCGTGACCAGAGCCGTGCTCTATGAAAAAATCATCCGCTACTTGAGAGAATGTTTCGAGATCGAGCAACGACAAGAGAATACAACACCCAGCGACAGAGCCTAATTTTAATTGTGTTTCAATTGGCGCCCCAACAGCGCTTGTTAATAATGTTTTGTGTTTATAGAATTTATCCGCGTGTATTGTAAAAAAAAAAAAAAATTAAAATAAAATAAAAAGTATATAACGAACGCGTCAGAGGCGCGCAACGCGACTATAAGCAAAGCCGCAAAATCTCTCGCTCTTTCTCGAGCAGCAGCTGACGTAATCCGGGTTAAAGTGTTTTGTGCGGAGGGCGTCACGACGACTATAACGCGCCGCAATGTGTGACGTCTCTGCTGCGAGGCACCGCAGGTGCGTAAGTGTATAGCAAAAACGAACAAAATTTATAAGGCATGCTCGCGTCAAAAGAGAGAATTTCGAGCGATCTCGTACCGATCGAGGTTAATACCTCCGCGAGTCGTCGCGCAATAACGCAGCTAACAAAATAGGGACAAAAGTGCATGGATATTGCAGGATACGGAGCAAATGAGAGCACGTGCAGAACGTCGCCTCCACGACGACAACGACGACGACGTCGACTCGTTTTCTTTTCACGCTAATACACGCATAAGTGCCCCTCCGAATAAAAGCGAATTGCGAAGCAGCGCAGAAATCTCGCGATATGCGCGCGTGTTGCTTGATTACACTAAAATTGTGCACTTACACAAATACCACGCGCGAGGCTCTCATCAAACTGCACGCGAAGGCAATCATTTTCCTTGTGATAAATGAAGCCAAAGCAAACTACAATATGTAGGTATAATGTGTCAGAGCTCTCTCTCCGCCAACGCCGCGACGAATTTCTGTGCATTGGCTCCATGAGCATACCGAGACACGGAATAGTGGCTATATATTAGCGGCTCGACACAATGCGCGCGATCCGTGCGTAGTGACTCATTCCACTCATATAGTATGCAAAATACACAACGACGGCAATAATAATTCGCCTTTAAGCAAATCAGGCAAGCGACAATAATGACGTAACCCCGGTGTGTTGGCAACGAATTTAGAATTTCTTATCTTTCGGTGATTTTCACGTGTGTTTATACCTTTTTGTGCATCGAGCGGGAATTATAATTTTATCCGTTCACGCAGCTTTTTTTTTGGACAAACAAAGAAAAATTTGCTAAATATATAAGTTATATATAGTGCTTTTGATAAGCGTCCGATACCGAGACACTCGGTGCACTTGGCGAGTGCTATAACTGTACCTTGAAGAGTTGCATCGCAACTCGTGCTGTTGTTGTTTTTTTTGGCCTATATGCGAGCTCGATGCATTTGCAAAGTCGCTTTATTTATACCGCGTCGAAGAATTTTCGAGGAGTTCTCGATACAGAGGCACACCGAAACCAATGATGAACATAAAAATATTCGAGTGTGTTCGATGAAAACTTTTTTCGGAAAATGTTGCCATATATTTTTTTCTATAATCAGCTCATCTATTATCAGCCAAGGGTTCTCGAATTCAATCGGAAAAGCAAAATGCGACGATACGGCACTCAGCGTAGGATTGGCCAAAAAGGAGCAACCGGGCACTTATGCACCCGACGACCCCGGTGTTGCATCCCTGGTGGGGATCGAACCCACGACCTTTGGATTAGAAGTCCAACGCGCTATCCTCTGCGCCACAGGGACGGATGCTCAATGAGGCCAACAGGCACTTGTTGAAGGTGACGAATCCTTGCTTACGCTTGCTCGCCCGACGAACGAGTTCGATCGATCGTGCTAATTTGGTTTTGTACCGAGAGACTGGTACATCTGGAAAACTAATCATTTACAAGTAAGTGAAATCGATCGTACAAAGAGCACGTGTCAAGTCGTCTTAGATGCAAATAGTTTAAAAAGATCATTAGAACGAGCCCGGTCGATAATGCGTCCTCGAGGATGACGATTTCCTCCTTACCGGCGCCCGAGCCGTCAAACTTTTAATCGAGCAAGCACTGTTAATTACGAAAACTTCTTTGACGACTCGAATCAGGTCAATGACCAATAATCATTACTGCACTGTGGGTGTATTATCTAGTATCTTGAAGTATTACTGTATTGGTTCCAAAATCAAAAAATCAAATTGAGTAATGTAGGCAACGCTGAATTACTTTTGCCACAGACTGAGCCTGTAAACTAATTCATCGGAGATCAAAGCAACGTAAATTCTCCTGCGCTTGTACGTTGTAACTTGTGCGAGCGAAAATTGAATTTGAGCGCGCACAGCAGTTGGGGGGTGAGCGCATGCGAAAACATGGGGCGCTCGTGTGCTGTGCACTGTGCACAATATACACTGAGCGTCTCGGGCCGAACATATGATGCACAAAGAAAGTTGCAGGCCACAGGCAGTCAATACATATAGATATATAAACTTGCAAGAGCCTGTCGACTGCATCTTACACAAACCGTGCTATATCTGTATATTTATAAGCTGCTGTGCTGTGTGCAAGTAGAAGCGCGCTCGCTCGGCAGACGCGCGCACAAAGAATCATAATAATTGTATCAAGCGGAGCTGCTGCTGCTGCTGCTGCTGCTGCTGCTGCTACTGCTACTGCTACTGCAGTCCCAATTGCTTTGGCTTAGGATATCATAAACTCCACTGGCATTGCACCTATATATCTATGTCAGCGCTGCACAGATGTTGTGCACACACGTATCCAAGTTGAGTGTTGACACCTCGCGACGAAGAGGACGACGACGAGGAGTCGCGAACTTGCTGCCTGTGGTGACTGCCAGAGTTTACTGCCGCGCTGCCGCTCCTCTGTGACAGCTCGGCCCATTCGCATATCGTAAACATCACGACCAACAACCTAATAACGATGCTACTGTAACAATGTGCAAGGCCGAAGGTGCGCAACGACAACAACAACCACGACGACGAGGCCTTTGACGGAGACTGGGGGTCGCGCGTTTATTAAAAACTCAACTTCCTCGTCGCTGCACTGCCTGCAATTTATAATATTATAAAAACATAAATTGACAAAATATACGTAGAAGCTCTCTGGTGCTGCAGGTGCATAGCAGCAGAGCTCCATCAACCCCTAGCAGCAATACATGTACGTATACATCTGTGTATCCAATTCTTCATATGTGTTGTCATATATAATACACTTTCGTTTACACACTGCTAACGACGAATATTGTGCACTGGCTTGTAAACACTTTTTCTGTCACGTTCGCTGCTCCCGTGAAATGAACTTTTGCATAACAGCCCGCGATGTTCGCGACTCTTTCTTTCGTCGTTTGTTGACACATTTTATTCTCTCTTTTGTCTGCACGCAATGCCTCGATGCACAATTTCTTATGTCAAAATGTAATAAGGATTAAGGGCTGCATTTATGCTTCATCCTTATTATTCGTTCGCGATATCGTTCTCTTCACCCCCTGTCGTCTGTATTTAGATTACTTGTTATTTTGACATCTTATGTATTCATTTATTTTTTACAATTGAAAAAAAATGTGATTTTATTACAATGAACTGAACTTGCACAATATGTTAGCTTCTAACATTCTGTTTCATTTTCTGGCATTTGTTTTATTTTGAACTCAATTGAATGTTTGATTCTGACCTTATTATTTTCAATGAATATATTTGCTTGGCTTCATCAAAGTAGTAAATTGCTGCAAACTTGTTATTTATATCATTGACATTGGCTTGCTTTGTTCAATTTATTTTGTAAATTCAGTTTTATGCGGATGTTGCATCAGACAAGTTTATGCACTTTTACTGATTTCAAATATCAGTGCATTTCTATTCATGAAATATTTCATTTCAATTCTGTACTTTTGAAACAATCATTTACAAGATATGTCTTTTTCTTTTTCAGGGAACATAAAGCTATGTCTACGCATGGAGGATGGGTTCAATTGCATCGGTGCTGCAGTGGCATTGCTCGGAATGCTCTCTGATAAATCCAACCGAGACACCTAAATGTGCAAGGTGTGGCTTGAGTCGTCTCAAAAGTAATGAAAGGTCTAGATCAACCGGTACACCACTGTGTAATTCTCTGACCCATGATCCTGATAATCCAAGAGCAGAAACTGATTCTTGCTCATCCTCCTCGAGGCCTCCAACACCACCACCAAGACATTGGCTAGTTGATGATGTTGATAACAATGATTCCGTAGCTACATTACCATTATCGCCATGTCCACCTATAAAATCATCTGAGTTTTCACACAGGTCATGCGTGCAGCGGAATCAGTATGATACTTTCATTGTTTTAAGGTTTTTAAAATTTTTAATAACTTTTAATCAAAACTCACCATTAACATTTCATCAATATTTTTCTTGAACAGTAGCTCAAAAAATTGTGATAAAAATACAAAGAAGAGAGAACGCAGAGGATCTTGGTCAGAATCAGTTGAAAATGAGGCTAATCTGCACAGATCATTATCGCTACCATCTTTAGTAACTAGTTGGACGTGCGTGAGGTGTCTATTTGACAATACTTGTCGTAGCTCTAAGCCTGCCTGCACAGCCTGCGGCGCAACTTCCTCTGCATCCCAGACCAATTCGATTCAGGTCGGGGTGAGGAAGTGTCGCAGGCTCAACAAAAAATTCGCTACAACAAGACCAGCTGCAAAATTGAATTTAGTCACAAGAGTCACAACGGGTTCAGAAACTCGTGTTCAAGGCACAAATTCTAGCAATGTAGATAATCATAGGGATAGAGGTGACAGGAGCACAGGTGAGAAATGTAAAAATATATCACAACACCTCAAATATCTTAATACCATCGTTAAATCACGTCGTACAATGTGCTAAAGCGCGAGAATCACGGGGCAATGTCGTTATCGACTTTTAAAGTCTTACAATATATAGTACACCTTGACCGATTTGACGAGACTCAGTTGCCTCGATATAACTCAATGGCCTGCAACGCAGTGAACTCGTACGAGATCGTAGTTCATTCTCCGACGAGAGTCGGCGATGCGCGAACGAACGAGCATTAAAATGTGTAGAGTTTAATTGCATATAATAAAAACTTTTCCTCAGAAATGGCTCAGCTGTCGAGCATGAGACGAAGCAGCAACGATCGCGGCCGCAGCAGCAGCAACGAGCGCGACAATTGGAGCTTACCGAACGTCAAAGGCCTGCACTCGGGTTCGTCGGCGAGCTACATCGATGGCAGTCTCGACAAATCTAGGTAACGAGCTCTAATTATTGCCTCCTAACAATCGCGGCTCCTAAACGCTTACCCGCTGCTCGCCCACTAACATTTACTAAATTTACGCCTTTACTACGCTAGCAGCAGTGTGCAGCGCTCGCCGAAGCGTCAGAGCCCGTCGATGTACGAGCGCGTCAAGTCGAAGGTCAGCCGCTCGCTGTCGAACGGCTCGGTGGCCATTCAGAGATCGTCGACGAGTAGTGGCGGCAATGCCACGCGACCGACTAGTCTAATAGTTGCCGAGATGGCCCATCATCAACAGCAACATCAGAGGAGGCTCGTTCACGACGTTGACGACGACGACGACGACGACGCCCTGTGGAGCTGCGACAATTGCACGCTCGACAACGAGCCCGGCCTGGAGCAATGCGAGGCCTGCGAGGCGCCTCGAAGTCCCGCGCCCCCCTGCAGCGGCGTCGTCATAAGCGTGCCTGCCTGGGAGCCCAGGGCTTTGGCCTCGGCGGCGGCTGGACCGCTGTCCTACAGGTGCTTTATTCTTCCTTCACTTGCTCTAATAATAACAATAACTATAAACTCGTACTATACTTCAGGTACAATGACAATTGTTGATAGAGATACGTTCTCACGATATTCTTTTGTTTATTACCGAGGAGTTACGCCGTCAATTATGACGCATTGTTCTCGGCTTTGAAGTCGACGCGACGGCTCTTCCCCCGTTTTTAATTTCATAATTACAGTTAATAAGCTAAACGCTTACTAAGCTTGCGCGTACAACAGTCGCTGCTGATGCATGCGTGCAGTAGATTAGCTGCAACGATTATATCCGTATGTACCGTTTTTTGTTCTCCGTACACAACAGGCGCTCGTTCTCCGACGTGGACTCGATATCGAGCTCGGCCCAGCAGCGCAAGTCGAACCGACGCAGTCTGAACGACGAGGAGCAGCCGCCCGCGGTGCCGCCACACTCGGCGGGCTTTAACGGCGGATCCGGCTCTACCAGGACCAAGTACTCGTACATCGGGATGGCCGATCCCGACGTGCCGCCACCGCTGCCGAAGAAGCAAGGTGGATTACGTGCGCAGCAGCAGAGAGCGGCGCGCAGCGAGACCACGAGTCCGGTGGCGCTCACTGTCACCGAGGCCGCGTCGGCTCCGCTCAGTCCGCTCAAACGCATGTGGTCCTGCCGCAAGTGCTCCTACGCTTACAATCCGCTCTGGTCGTCGGCCTGCGACATCTGTGGCAGTGGCGAGCAGAGCATATCCTCCCTCACCGCTAGTGCTGGTAAGTTTATCATACTTCATCATCTTCTAAATACTCGTGAGTCAAAATATCCTCATAAGGTGCTGTGATGTTGTTGTTGCGCAGGAAAACGTAGCCTACACTCGCCGATAGCGATGTCGCGCGACAGCGTGCGCTACATACCGACCAAGTCCGCCACTCTGGCTCAGGCCGAGTCGGACCTCGACGACGTCATCGACACGCCGGCCACGTCGTGGACCTGTCGGAAATGTACACTGCTGAACGCGGCCTCCCGTTCTATCTGCGAAGCATGTGGTGGCTCGAAGCTACGCAGCGTCAATTATCATCTCGAGGACCCGACGCTGAGACGAGGCGAGTCCTGGATCTGCCCCTCCTGTACCCTGAGAAATCCGCTGACCTCGTCGACCTGTGGCGCCTGTAAAAATCTCGCCGATTTCATCGAGCTGCCACCGGTGAGGAGAGAATCGCAACAGCAACAGCAGATTCCGTTGATCATTTCGCAAAGAAGTCCTAGTCCAAGAACGGCGAGCGTGGTCTCTAGCGTAGCCCAAAAAATAGTCACACCGCGACATAGAATAAATTCCATTAGGAGTAGAAATGGTGGTGCTACTGCCGCCGGGGTAACTGGTTCCAGTTCGTCGGATAAACGACCGTCGAAGGTCCGAGAGTCGAGCTCGCTCCAGTGGCAATGCAAGCTCTGCACGTACGAGAACAAGAGTACAAACGTCAATTGCGAGATGTGTCACAGCTCCAAGACCCTGTCGCAGATGCAGGCCGACAGACCGAGAATTCTCAAGGAGCCGGGAACAGCTACTCTGAGAATACAGCGCCAAGAGAGCGTGGTCATGGAGAATCTGCGTCAGCTCGAGGAACGCGAGGCTCTCGACAAGTGGGAGAGGATCGTTCGTTACTGCAAGGAGACGAACGAGCCCTTCGTCGACGACTCCTTTCCGCCGGCGCCCAAATCTCTCTACTACAATCCAGCCGACACGAAGGACAATCACGTGGTCCAGTGGAAGCGGCCGCACCAGATCAACGTCGACTCGAGCGTGGACTCGAAGCTGCCCTGGGCGGTGTTCCGCACGCCTCTTCCATCGGATATCTCCCAGGGGGTGCTGGGCAACTGCTGGCTGCTCTCGGCGCTGGCGGTGCTCGCTGAGAGCGACGAGCTCGTGCGTCGCGTGCTCGTGATGCGCGAGACCTGTCCCGAGGGCGCCTACCAGGTGCGACTCTGCAAGGACGGCAAGTGGACCACGGTGCTCGTGGACGATCTGCTGCCGTGCGACAAGCGCGGCCACCTCGTCTACTCGCAGGCCAAGCGAAAACAGCTGTGGGTGCCGCTGATCGAGAAGGCCGTGGCCAAGATTCACGGCTGCTACGAGGCCCTCGTGTCGGGTCGAGCTATCGAGGGTCTGGCCACGCTCACGGGTGCCCCGTGCGAGAGCGTGCCTCTGCAGCCCTCGGCCCTGCCCAGCGAGGACGAGCTCGACAAGGATCTCATATGGGCGCAACTGCTGTCCTCCAGACAGGCGATGTTTCTCATGGGTGCTAGCTGCGGCGGTGGCAACATGAAGGTCGACGAGGAGGAGTATCAGCGCAAGGGTCTTCGGCCCAGGCACGCCTATTCCGTTTTGGATGTCCGAGACGTGCAAGTGAGTTCATAATACACATAATTTATTCGTAAATATTTGTAAGTGAACTAATCGTATGAAAACGATTTTTATCAGGGCATACGACTGCTTCGACTCAGAAATCCATGGGGTCATTACAGCTGGAAGGGCGATTGGTCGGACGACAGTCCGATTTGGACGCCGCAGATGCGAGAGATGCTGATGCCGCACGGCGCCTCGGACGGTGTGTTCTGGATCTCGTTCGACGACGTTCTCCGTTATTTCGACTGCATCGACATCTGCAAGACCCGCGTCGGCTGGAGCGAGGTCAGATTACGGGGCACATTGCCGCCTCTATCGTCTCTGAGGCACTTGTCCTGCGTACTGCTCACCGTGCTCGAGCCCACGGAAACCGAGTTCACCCTGTTTCAAGAGGGACAAAGGTATGTTTAATAACGCATTATTAATCGATCGATGGCAATTGTTCATTTATTAATTTTACTTGCCCAAAGAAACTCGGAAAAGTCTCAACGCTCGCAGTTAGATCTGTGCGTCGTCGTGTTTCGTACGCGCTCGCCCGCTGCGCCGGAGGTGGGTCGCCTGGTCGAGCACAGTAAGCGTCAGGTGCGCGGATTCGTCGGCTGCCACAAGATGCTCGAACGCGATCTCTACATCGTCGTGTGCCTGGCTTTCAATCACTGGCACACCGGCATGGAGGACGACACGAATTATCCCGAATACGTGCTGGCCATTCACAGCTCCAAGCGCTTGCTAGTGGAGCAGATATCGCCGCCGGCGTTCGTCTTGGCCGACGCGATAATTAGCTTGACCCTAGCCAAGGGTCAGCGGCACGAGGTACGTGTCGATAAAATCAGATCGACAACCTAAAATAGTACATGATTGCGATTACTAAAACCAAATAATTACGTTTGCAGGGTCGAGAGGGTATGACGGCCTATTATCTCACCAAGGGTTGGGCTGGGTTAGTAGTGATGGTGGAAAATCGTCACGTCAACAAGTGGATCCACGTTAAATGCGACTGCCACGAGAGTTACAACGTTGTCTCGACCAGAGGACAATTGAGAACTGCTGATAGTGTTCCTCCCCTTCACAGGTAATTTCTTGAGACTAAATTTCCGGATGAATAATTATTATTAATTTTAAGAAAGTTTCTTACCGAATAATATGAAAAATCTATCTCCTTACAGACAAGTCATAATAGTGCTAACTCAGCTGGAAGGTAGCGGCGGTTTTTCGATAGCCCACCGTTTGACCCACCGACTAGCCAACAGCGGCAATCTTCACGACTGGGGACCTCCCGATACCCAACACTGTCCACCGATAGATACCCAAGTCGAAGGTTTGCACAGTCCCCGTCTCATAACTTAAGGTGTAGAAACTGCGATAATTTGGCCTCACGAATCGAAACGAATGGTTCTTTATCAACGAGTTTTGTTGAGAAAAAAAGCTGTTTATATATACCAAAGGATGGGATTATTCGTACTAGTCCCCAGTGTTATAACGTAAGATCTGTAGAATTTTTTGACTAAGTATTTCAAACTTTATGTAAATGTTTCTGTGTTCCGGTAACCCGTTTAATAGCAATTAGCGAGAATGTGTATAAAGAGTCAAGGAGACAAAGTTGTAGTTGAAGATAAAAGTAGAAATCGTCAACTTTTTTTAACTTCGCGGACTATGATATTTTGTATTGTTTGGATCTGATTAATTTAATTGTTTTTCTTTGAGCATTCACAACTTGTGATGATACCATGTCATACATTTTTTTAATGCAGCATTTACGCGCTAAATAATTATGATACACCTAAATATACTAAAATCATAAAGCTGTAAATTTTAATGCAAAAAAATTATTTTCTCAAAACTTTTAACTTATAAGCAACGTGAAATAAAAAATATTTTCACGCTCTCAAACGCAATACAAGTGAGTTAAATCCAACTACTTGTAGAGGATGTATGTACAATGGTGTATTTTAACAGAGTCAGTGATTGTGAAAATACTCAACAATATGAGCACTCCATTTCGCTTTCAAGTGATATGTGGTTGTGTCTATAAAATAGACCATCACTGATAAACACAAAAACTGTATTGTAGTCGGTGGATTATAATAAAAATTTAGTATTAATTTCATCGTCAAATTAGCTCGGATTATGTGCGTTCATGTGAAAATTATTGTAATTAAAATTTTATCAAATTTAGAAAATGTTTATTTCATAAGTAGAAATTGAACACTGCCATAAAAATGAAAATTTCAGTATGAACATTATCTCATTTTTAGTATAATTATTATTATCGAACTATAAAAATGAAATAAAATAGGAATTTAAGGGATTTAAATAGTAGTAATGAATTTTTCAAAATACCGAATTCAATTTGTGAATTGTATTGTTTTGGCTAGTTTATGAGGTTACAAATGAATTAATAAGTAGTAATTATATGACTGGAAGGACGTCATAAACAAATATACTATAAGATTAACTCAGTGATGGAGACAGTTTCGACATAAAGCACAACATTGTTCTATAGCTAAAATTTTATTTTTTATAATTTAATTTTCAACAGAAACTATTAAAGTTTAGTCACATGATTGATAAAAAAATACAGTCAATTCTGTAGTTTCAAGTAATGTAAATACATTTACACTAAATACATCAAGATCATTGTAAATTCATTGAAAGCTGAATCGCTTTAATGAATTTATATTATCAAGTGATAATAATTTTGTTTATAACGCTTATACGTGCTAAGAATTATTTTTTTATTTTATAAATAAAGTGTTTTGCGTTATTAGTAACGTTATTTTGCACGAACAAAATAGAACAAATGAGTAAAAATACCAATTTTATGACATATAAATGCGCTTTTATAACTATACTTTTTGTAATCAATGAATCTCGCCAGAGTACGAATAATAATTTCACAACACAGTAACATGACAGTATATATCGTGAGCAATGTTTGCTTGAGAAATGACACACTTAATCAAGAAAATAGAAATAAAATAAGTTCATCACAACAGTGAAATCAATTTTTTATTTCACTTGAGGATAGACACACAAAAATCAAAGGTTGTCCTGATGTTATTTGAACTGAGTAATTATTAGAGCTAAAATAAAGTAGAATCCATTTGCAGTTTTTTTCAAAATTTACATGTTGTATTGATTGAACATTCGAAGACCCACATGATTGAGTCCACAAAAATCAATTATTAGTTTATTTTCATCATTTACAAGACAATAATGATCATATGTGTTACTTTAAAGTTTGTTCGAAGAAAAAATTATTAATTCGAAAAATAAAAGTGAATTCCATTTTTCGGAAGAATAAATTGAAGTCAAAAATGTTGACACAAGTAAATTATACATGATTTATTATATGAAAATTATTTAATATATCACATGTATAAATTAAAATGAAAACAGATTTTGTTCAAAACGACGAAAACAATGCTATTTGTGAGACAACAAGATGTATAATATCAAATATTGTACAGTTTAAAAATTAAATCAAGAATGATTTTTAAAAATAAATATTTATTTTAAAATATTTTCTTGCTATGAAAAGTAAGGATCTAGGTTTGAAATTTAATGACTGCCGAATGAATTTTGTTTCGCAACAATTGTGATTTATTACGAGTGAAGCGCATATTACGCACTAAAACATAATAATACTGCGTAAAATAAAAGTACTGAAGCATGGGTTGTGCCAGAAAGTTGAAAATTGTCAGATTACTATCACAAAGTGAAAATATTGTAAAGTTTTTATCAAAAGTTAAAAAGAGAACGTTTGTGATATGTTTAAATGAAAAAAGTTTTAACCACTTTTATCGTAGCTCATCGCTTCAACTGTGATGACCATGAACAAAGAATAAGGCTGTTTTAAATGTTCAATATTAGTTAAATGAAAAAAGAAACGTAAAAATGTGAATAACCCAAGGGACTTTGAAGAAGAATATTAAGTGCTTGAAAATAGGCATGCAAGCAGCAATCAATCATGTGATAATACACGGTACTTTATCGATCGTTCATTGAATTAAAGGAAGTAAAAAAAAATGTCGTTTGAAAAAAGAGCGTGCGACAAACAGTGCTGAGTGAAATGTAATTTGAAGAACTTTATGAAAGCGAGATTTTTGAAAGCAGCATGAAAGTGACCTGCGAAAGAGTCAAAAAATAAATGATATAAATATTTATGTGCTACAATAAGACAAACGCGCGATCAGTGTAGATAATATAAAAAAAAATTCTTGTATTGCATTATACAGTATAAATATATAAATGAAGAATGACGCGTGTTATGAATCTACAAAGGTACATATACGATATTTACTATTATTATATAGATAAATACGTTAGAGAATTATAAAAAAAATGTGTTTTCATTTTTCATCGTATTGTGTAGACACATTTATTAATAAATTCAATTATAAGTCAATAATAAATGGCCGTACTTATTTCTTTCAACATCAAGTCAAAATGGTCGTCGAATAGAGGACTCGCATTAATCGTCAAAGTAGATAAACAGCAGGGTCGACGATATGCTTAACAGTATCTGAAAATTTTGCTAGTCAATGTTTATTTATTACCCTATACTTACAAAACTTAAAGTTTCTCAGCGAATCTCACCAACAATGCGGTAGAGCCAGCCTGCATTATTTTGTATAGTAATCCAACATCGTATATCTCTTTTTTAATGTACTTCAAACAACCCGATGAGCCTATCTTATCCGACTTCAAAAGATCGACGCAGTTCTGACTGCATAAAAATATTTCTATTTCAAATCATTGAATCTAATTTTGACACCTTATTTCTGTTTAATATATTACCCGGAGCAACAAAAATCTGGAATGGAACAGACGTAAGTACCAAAAATGTCGGTGTCAGCCGTTGAGTTGTTGCTCATCAAAGTGCCAAGCTCGTCCTGGCGTTTGTCATTGTGACTCGTTCTCGAGCACCAATCCAAAAAACTCGTAACTCCGCAACACTTGAACTTTGAATCGATTAAGTTTCATTAGAATATTATCGTTAGGGGTGGTGCAATCGACGCAAGTAACTTTACCGAATCGTGAAAGTACTTCCAAGCAGGATTATCCACTTGTTCAGGACTGATATTCGATCTGAGTTTACTCTCCAAATCGTTCTCCAAACGTTTTTGCAGCCAAAACTGCAGAGCCAGCACGAGCGCGGTCGAGACGGCCACGACGAGGGTGGCTGTCACGTGCTGAGAGAGGGAAAAAAATCAGCTCTCATACAGTCGCACGGTCAGAAGTTTATAACGCCTTCAATAACGACGCTATGCACCTACCCATCGAATGTAGCGGGACCTCTTGTAAAGTGCATAAAAACCAGCCACGGCGAGCGCCATGTAAACGAAGGAGAAGGTATAAAACAGGGCCAGGATCGCGCTGAACATCGAGTAAGACATGGTGAGCAAAAAGATGCCCGACGACAGGGTAAAAGTTAGCGCGCTGCCGAAGTGCATGATGCTGAAAATCTTTCGAACGATAACTTGATAAATATGTATAGCTAAAGAAGAAACTAATTATGCCGAGAAACGCGTATATCTACGAACCAGAACGTCGGCATTGAAGAAAACGCAGAGGCAGAGGATATTGTAAGAACAGGAAGCCCGCCGATCGTAATGATGCAGTAGGTGGTTGTTGGCGCGATTTTCGGCAGCCTCGGGTGCCTCGTCGCAACAGTAATCGCTTCGATAGCGTCGCAGGTCCGGCGTCGAGGACGTCTCCACGGATCTCAGGAGTCTCGCCAATCGCCTTGCGTCTGATTCCGAACGATTACGAAATGTATTCGCCGCGATGGTCGCGCGCGTCAACGCATGTACACGAGGTGACTTACTCGTCCGGTTGGGAAAAGCGGTGGACTGGGTCTTGCGCACGTCGCGCTCGCCGAACTTCTGCGGTCCGAGGCCGTCGTGCAGGCAGACGTCGCGACGTCGTTTCGGACAGTTGAAGGGGCGATCGGTCGGCGACTGGGGACGGTAGACGATGCGCTCGACCATCGGCGTCATCGGCATCGACGCTGCGGCGGCTGTGGCCGCGGCTCTCGTCTCCTCGTTTCGAATCTTATATGTATGAACTATTTTCTGTCGCGGATCGCGGCCTTTAGACTCGATCCACTGGTCGATCGATGGATCATTAGCAAGAATCTGCACCTACCTGTTGTCGTTGATGCCTGTGGAACTTGACCAGGGCACTTCTCGATGTCTCTGCTTGGCCATGATCGGCTGATCTGATGCTCGCACCATCGTAGTTGCTGTTGCTGCTATTCAGACTCACGATGAAATTTTCATCACGACTTTCAATTTCGATCTTTGTAGTTTTTGTTGGCGCCGGTTTGTTGTTGTTTTCCTGCGCACTATCAATTCTATCCAGGTCACTACTTCCAACGATCATGGTTGCGCGCGACAATTGTCGTCTCTCTGAAAATCGGCAATCGTATTTGTTAATACAGAGCTGTGTGTGTCTCGATATGTAGGTTACACGCGATCTCGATCACCTTCCACTTCTCATTATGCTTGTTTACTTATTTTCAATTCGATAATATTATTAATTTTGCGATCTGAAATTCACGTCAAGTGGTCGAACTGACGATAATTCGAAGAAACGATCGACATCGATTCAAACTGCAGACGCTGCCCGACGCGAGTAACGGAAAACATTTTCCCGCGCATTTCATACAAACCGCAAGGTCGAGCGACGAGATGCACAGGAAAGGATCGTTGGCGATTTGAACGACGTCAAAACGGTTAAAACGATGAAATGTTTCCGCCGCACGAGAGACACAGCACGCGCCCGCCCGCCCGCTCCGAAATATTTGTGGCTGCCAGCACGTGTGTGCAGTTTGCACTGCCGCCCGCGATCGACCAAACAAAACCGACGACATGCAATTCAGAGCTGCAGTCTCAGATTTTAGCAGTGTCGAGGACGATGCGAAGCTGCTCGCACGAGCCTTTCGCGTTACTCCGAATCATCATCATCCCCGTCGTTATTTTTTTGTTAATCAAACCGCATCGACGTCCGAGCAGGATAGCGATTCAAAATGTCCTACACTTACCAACGATTTCACGCCGATCAGCCGCGCCAACAACAGCAGCGGGTCAAGAGTCAAGTGCAGCAGGCAAACGTCGCCGCGGCGGCGGCTGATAATATTGCAGGTGCAGGTGGCACTGCCGATAGTTTATATAGTCCTACGGCGACCAGCGCCGCTGCGAATATATACTCCGATGTTGTGGTGGCGGTGCCACCGCCGCCGACACTGGTAGTAGCGGCCGAACAGTCGACGCGAGTGCAGGTGCACTACCAAGCTGCATCGAACGTCGCCAATGTAGTCGTTACGCGCAGGAGAAAACGTCCGATTCGGGACAAGCTCTTGGCCGATATGGCCTCGGATAAGGTACGGACTCGCTTATGAGATCGTCGCACGGCTTTTATTATCGCAACTCCTATCTCCCTTTATTGCTGCACTTGCCACTGCTTTGGATAATTCAGTACTCGCGATTCTCGCACTCCCCTCGACCGAATTCGTTAGTCCGACGTTAACTGCAACTTTACATAACCTGGTACAGTCGTTTGTTGTTGTTTTTGCGCGCTTTCCGCTCGACAACCCCCCCTCGCACGACGAACGGTCCCCATGCATTTTGAAATCGACACGACCAAAGAAGATAGATACTACATATAGAAGTCCGTTTCCCTATAGTCTGGTGAGGACAATTTTCGAACCCGACTTGTGAGTACTGAACCCACAAGATGGATGGCGCCACAGGCGGATGTCGGTAATTAAAGAAAAAAAATTTTTTTCCGATGCCGGGATTTGAACCCGAGGCCTCTGCGCGGAAGTCGAGCGGGCTAGCCACTCGGCCAAACGGCCATGTTACCACTGACAACTCAAATTTCTTATTTGAATTATGCATGGTCGTGAACTGTGGATATATGATTGCCGCAGACAATTTCATGAAAATAAAATACATTTTTACTATAAAAAATTATTTTATACTTATCTCGACCTACGACGTACATATTTTGGTATGTAAAATTATTCTCTTTTTAATAAGATGTTTTTTGTAAGATATATATACAATTTACCAACTGTTTTTAACTTATTGAATATAATTAATTAACTAACAATTAATTAATATATATTAATATAAACAAGCTGAAATTTTTTTAAAATGATGCCTGTAAACGATAACTGAAAATGCAAATTATAAACAGTTCTGCGCTCGGCTAATTGCAGCTACAATACGTTCATTATTATAAAATTAATTTTATATTAGTACTAAAATAGTATAAATTAAGAGGATATAAGCATTAATAAGAAACGCAAATAAAACAAAATTTGAAAGTAATGCAGCTGAAATCACTCGATGGAAACCAAGCGGGAAGGTGGCAAAACATTTCCATCAGGAGAGGATGGGATAGGTTGTTGAAATTTTGCGTAATTAATCTCGTAGTTTTACTACTAAAACAGAAACTTCAAAACACATGCAATTTTAAGAGTTAATTAACGCAAATTTCGGGGGAAAAGAGGTGAGCTGCATACCTATGGAACTTAAAATGAAGTATTAATATTATTGATATATATTTAAAAATTAAAGAAAATTAAATTTGGCTAAGTTTTTGTAATTTTAAATTAGGTTTAGCAGCACAAGTTCCAACATTACGCTTTTTAGATTCTCTAATTTCTCTGCTCATCCATTTAGCGCGGTATTTTAAATGTAAAATTACAAAAGATTTTAGTATACAATTTTGATGTTCATGATTACAATCATCATGAATCCAAAATTCAGGAAATTTTAAAATTATTGCATCGCGAATTAGGGAATATAAAAAGATAGATAAATTTTCTCTGTGCGAGTTTTCCGAAAAAGCCCTTTCAAAAATTTCGTATGAAGTTAAAACTACATTAAATAAAAGTTCAGAAGGAACTTGTAAACTACCACATATGTCACTCTGCACAGATGGATATGCTTTAAAAAATAAGAAAGTGTCATTGGGAGAATTCAATTGCAATATATCATTTTCGGTATATTTAGCGAAACATTCATTACAATTATACAATTTATTCAATCTATACGCTAAATAACCCGAAATGTATTTTTTTGTTTGGTTTTCAAGTGATGATGTTTGTGTGGATAAAAGAGGTTCTGTATGAGATGTGTCTGTTGTTGCTGTTTGTGTATCTGTTCTTGGGTCTGGTGTCTGTGCTGATTGATATTTTGAATCCAATTCATTCCAATACGCTTCATTTTCAGTAAACCAATCCTCTACATTTTTATTAATTTTTTCTGTTAAATCACCCGATTTGTCCCTATTTAACTTATTAAAATTAGAAATTAATAAACGCGAGTTATCGGCTTCACAATTCGTTCCTTCCTGTGGTACTAACAAAGTAACAAGAACCGCATACTGGATGTTTTTAACGCACTGGGTAAGCGTAGGGTTATTGTTATAACCACAACGTTCTCTCAAAAATCCAAAAAAATTTTCTAGCTTATCTTGATTCAAACGTGAAGTTAATAAGTAACTGACACCTTCAGATTTGAGTCTGTCCCATAGTAAAAGAATCCCGTTAATTGTTAAAATAAGATTTTTAAAAGCAGGGGAATGACTATCATCATCTATTAATCTAAGCCAAGCTAAAGAATCCTTTAATTCATCTTCAACTTTCGAACTTTTCGATGAGAGCCCTCTCCTATAAGGATTGGAATCGGTCGAAGAGCGAGCATTGAGACAATCAAAAATTCTGTTGATTCTACTACAAAAATCGGATGTTGCAGCTGCTATTGCCAGATCAGCATTATTTAAACCAACTTCTCTATTGATAGTGGCTGTCATTAAAGCAGCACCTACCGAATGACTAAATACTTGTACAGCTAAGCTAACTTTCATTTTTTCAAAATTATTGGGCTCTATATGACGTTTAGATAATTTAGGTGCTGCTTTACACGGTTTGCCTTGTTCAAGCTCATAAAGCTTTACTATTGGCTTCCATGAAACTACATTTCCGTTTACTTTAAAATTATTAGATATCAAGGTGTTTCTAATGCATTTAATTATGTGAGGAGTGTCAAAGCCGAAGGTAATCTTGCTCTCTCTAAAAGTAAAAAAAGGATTATCGAGAGTAATACCCAGTTGCTTTACGGCGGATTGATTGCATGCAGACTGGTCACAAACCATATGGTAGATAATAAAGCCTGCTTCAGAAGCAAGTTCTATTACCTTTGTGATAAGAACTTTTAATTTAGCTGCTGTAACAGAACCAGCGCAAGGAACATAAAAAAATGGTTGTTTCCAGTTGTGAATCAATCCACCGAGCATAAACACTAAAACATGCGTAGCGACTTTGTTACCCCGACCACCTAAATCAAGTCCTAAATCTTCATAACCCTCTAAAATATCAAATTTACTATTAAATTCCAAACCCGGTTTAATCATAAGTTCGTCCCACATTAAAACCGATGCTTTTTCAAAAACTGATTTTGACTCTAATTTTATTTTTAATTGTGAATATAAATTAGCATTTTCCCCTGGCCTCAAATTTATGTTATTAACCCACTCATAAACTAACGTAAGACACGGAAGGTGAAAAAAATTTGATAAATATTTGTACGCTTTGGGAGACTTATAGTAAAGACCTAAAGCAAATTGCTTTTCGTCTTCTTCCCATTTAATTTTTTTCGAATGGTTTATCTGCATTATAAAAAAATCTAAATTTTTGCCCTGAAGATAATTGCTAGCACCGATAATGACGTCTTCTTTAGTTAATTTAACGACGCGTTGTTTATCTCGTTTTATTTTTTGATTTAGAAATTTAACTTTTTTCTGCAAACGACTAATTTTATTTTTCAAAATTTCATTTTTACGCGACAAAGATATTTTTGTATTACGTCTACGCCCTGAGAAGTTAACGAAGGGAGAGCAGATATTCGGCAAACATGGATCGGGAATTGGAATATCAATTAAATCATTTTGGGGAACTTGTGCTACTTCATCTAACCGTAATTCAGGCGGGTTTCTAATTTCTAATTCATGGAAAAATTTTGGTGTAACGCCTTGAATTAATTCTTTTTTATTATTAACACCAACAATACGAAAATCACTATCAAGAAAATGTGCACTGCATACCCGTCTTTCACCAAGCTGCGTATCGGTTAGAGTAGCAAGAGATGGATTGCCACTTCTTGCTATCCAATCATCTCGACTGTAATAAAATAATATGTCGAAAAAAACCAAAATATAGTATAGATAAAGGAGAAAAAGATATTCAAATTATAAAGAAGTAAACAGTAGCATAGCTGAGTGGTCGCAGAGCTCACTGCGAGGAAAAATTAAAAATTTTATTCAAATTTATTAGTTAGTTTAAAAAAGTTAAGTTTTTCATCTTTCAGTAAGCAATCGGAATGAGCCGAATCAATTCAGCTCGTAGAAATATTTTAGTCTTTATAAATAAACAATATTGTTTATAGGGTGGGCCCTCAACAACCAGCTATGCAACGGTCAGTAAATTACGAAAAAGTTCAAAATATTTTGTATTGCATGCGTTTGAAGTACACACAGTTATTAAAACGTTCCCAAAAATGTGTAGAAAATAAAGCTTGCGATAATAGTTTTAGCTTTGAAGATAGAGCAATATAGTACATTTCTTTTTTGAAAGGGCCACAAAAAAGCTCACACAATTGAAAAACTTAAAATAAGACTCACCTTATAATAAGTTAAATTGGAATAAATATTTCTACTTACTAGCAGGACGTTTAATATAAAACCACCGGACATTTTTCTAATCGTTAATGTTCTCGAACGCGTATTACTTAAAAGGCTTATGCAGTGCATGAGTTTGGCGTCTTGTACATTTCGAGACATTCACGAACATTAAAAACTTTTATGCGTATGAACACATTTACAATGAAAAGGTGTGCACGGATATTTTAGTCTAGGATCCACACAGGTGCCCGCTTCAAAATGAATCCCGAAAGCTAAACAATTTTCCGTCATTCTACTCTAAATGAAAAAACGGAGAGATTGAATTTTTAAACGTCAAAATCGGTTAATTAGAAAAAAAGTTATGGCCAATTTTGTGTTTTCTTATCAAGTCGAGCCAAANTGTATATATATCTTACAAAAAACATCTTATTAAAAAGAGAATAATTTTACATACCAAAATATGTACGTCGTAGGTCGAGATAAGTATAAAATAATTTTTTATAGTAAAAATGTATTTTATTTTCATGAAATTGTCTGCGGCAATCATATATCCACAGTTCACGACCATGCATAATTCAAATAAGAAATTTGAGTTGTCAGTGGTAACATGGCCGTTTGGCCGAGTGGCTAGCCCGCTCGACTTCCGCGCAGAGGCCTCGGGTTCAAATCCCGGCATCGGAAAAAAATTTTTTTTCTTTAATTACCGACATCCGCCTGTGGCGCCATCCATCTTGTGGGTTCAGTACTCACAAGTCGGGTTCGAAAATTGTCCTCACCAGACTATAGGGAAACGGACTTCTATATGTAGTATCTATCTTCTTTGACACGACTGTTCTATATGTTAGGCCCGTCGAAGAATCGCCGATTCATGAATGACAATTTCCTCTTTTACAGCCCTCTACTCTTTTAGAGCTCTTTTTACAGCCTTTACGACTTTGCGTATTCCGCGAACGTTTAAATAAATACAGATATATAGCGTATCGACGCCGAGAAATGCTAATGCACCTGTCGGTTGCGTAGGCACTCATTACAACGTCAAAACAAATCGATACTACCACCAGACTATACGTCTGTTTTTAATTTATTATATTTACGACGCACTATTTTAGCATTTTACCAAACTTTAAATCACGTGGAATTTTAATGATTTATTTAGTGGCAAACCAATATGAGTAATTGCTAAATAATAAACCAACATTTTTTTTCTTCATCTATGAAAACTTAAATATACAGTTTTACTGAATTATTTACACTTATTTATCATAATAAATTGAATTTTATTTTTTTTAGGTCTTGTTCCGACTGGATCTACCCCATGGTCCAGGAACTCTTTATATTTCATGGAGACCTAGCAATAGTACTCACTTGGCAACTACAGGATGCGATTCTACAGTTGCTATTGTGGACAGGCAAGGAATATTGGAAGAAAGATTGCAGTTGCCTGGCTTATGCTCTGGCTTTGGTTGGGATGCAGATGGTGATATTCTAGCAGCAGTCAGCAGTAGCGCATCTACAATTATATTATGGGACGCTACAACAGGAAAAAAGTCTCAAGTCGATGCTGGTGTCCGAGACGGATTAACTTGCATGATGTGGTCCAAAAAAAATTCAATACTTGCTGTTGGTACTCAAAAAGGAAATCTTGTAATTTATGATCATATGAATGCCAAGTATGTGATTAGTCTTAACAAAATATTGTTTTCTCTTTTCTATTTTCATGATTTAATTATTCAATTTGTAGGAGAATACCAATATTGGGTAAACACAAAAAACGTATCTTATGTGGTGCATGGTCTATGGAAGGATTCTTAGCCTTAGCTAGCGAAGATAAAATGCTTAGTATTAGTGACGCTAGTGGAGATACTTATAGAGAAGTTGAACTACATGGCAATCCATCAAATGTTCAGTTCAGTGAAATGAAAACAGATCAACGCATCGGGGGAGATACTACAGTCTGTATTTTTTTAATATATGTCTTAAATATTAAATGATTCTTATTAATAACCAATTATTCTATAGGTATCACTGATAATTAATAAAACTACTTTGTATCTTTACAACATGATTGATGCAGATAATCCTATTGAGTTAACTTTTCAAAGAAGATATGGTCCTATTGTCTCTTATAATTGGTAATTAATTATTTTTTCCACAAAGTTTGTTTTTATTACCTTTAATTATAATTATAACTATTTTTTTTTATAAAGGTATGGGGATGGTTACATACTTATTGGTTTTGAAGCTGGATATGTTACAGCAATCTCTACTCATATCAAAGAAGTTGGTCAAGAACTTTTTCAAGTAAAAAATCACAGAGATTGTTTAAATGATTTAGCCATCAATGAAATTACTGGTAAAGTTGTTACTTGCGGAGATAACAATTTAAAAATTCATAGTCTTCAAAATTTGGAAGAAACAGAAAAAGTTATAGTTGTAAGTGGTGAAACTGGAGTGAACATAGCAAAATGGTCTGCAGATGGTTCAATGCTTGCTGCAGTTACACACTCTGGAAATGTTTTAATTTACTTAGCACAAATACCTAGAATAATAAGTGTATCAGGAAATAGAATAGCTGTTTTAGCAAGCCTTAATGAAGTGGCCTTACATACATACACTTTGGATAAAGTAAGAAATAATGTTTTCTGAAGTAAGGAAATAATTTAAATAATTTAAAAATGATTATTTTTATTCATTTTTTTTCAGAATAATGCAACACCCTTGATCTTAAATACCCTCATTGAACCTTCAATAATAGCTATTGGACCGTTACATATAGCAGCTGCACTTAACAACAGAGCTCTTTTTTGGAATTCAGCTCCTGGACAAAGCAATACCACAACTATGATACATTTTGAACGAGATTATATGTCATCTGTTGAATCTATGTTATTAAATGAAAATTATGCCTCAGTTTTGTTTGATGGTAAATTACAATTACATGCAGTAAGTATACTTACTACTACTTTTTACAATAAAAATGTATTTACATACATTCAAAAGGAATCATAACTCTAATCTTCTTGAATAATTAGATAAAAACCGACTCTGCATTGATAGATGCGAGAAAAGATTCAAAAATATTTCCGGATCAAAGTGCTTTGAGTTCCAAAATTACTTGTCATGATCTATCAACGGACTTTTTAGTTTATGGAGATGATGTAAGTTGTTTTTATTTATTTTTTGACTTTTCTAAAATTTTTATATTTTCTGTTATTTTAGATGGGTAACATTGTTTATTTTTACCTTGAAGAATTCAAACAAGCTCTTAAATATACCCACAGTCATGGTATAAAAAGTGTACACCTAGATGCCAATGGTTCAATGTTGTGTTTTGTGGACAGTGAATCTGAAGTATTTATTTATGATCCAATAAATGAAGTCGCTTATGAAGCACCAGATAGTCCAGACTCTGTTGAAGGTGTTGTATGGGATCAAAATATCGAAGAGCGTACCACTTTTGCTGTCTATAATAGCACCATTATAACAACTTACGTTTTTATTCGATATCACATTAAAGGTGAAAATTTTCAATCTAATATTAAAATTCATGCAACGTAGAAGTAGCCAATAGATTATTAACACGTGTGCATTTTTTTTTACTTTTCTTGCAGTAATAAACTATTCTTATAAATTAAAAGGTACACAAATAGTAAAAATAAGCGATACCAAGTTACCATCGGACGCCATGCCGGCACTCATGTTTTCCGGAGAAATGACAATGAGTACGGTTGGGAGCAAGCTAATCCAAATCACACTTTCTTCACACGAGGAAATAGGCAATATCGTCGATCAGAAAAAATTAGCCGAAATTTTAGATAAGCAATTACTTTGTGGCAGGTATGGTACCTTTGGTTGATACGCCTTTTTAATGAGACACTTGATTTTATAATCATTAATTTAGATTCCAACGAGCTTGGGATACATGTCAGCGTCTAAACGATGAAAGCAAATGGGTATTACTGGCAGAAACGGCTCTGGAACATTTAGATATTGACATGGGTAAGCAAGTTTATATGAAATTTCGATGCAACAGAATGTAATGACGCGTGTTTTCACAGCAATACGCGTTTATCGTCAAATGGAGGATGCTTCAATGGTTTGGTCCTTGCAAAAGCTCGAAGAAGTGGACGAATACGCTCTCTTATGCGGTCACGTTTGTACTATCTTGGGCAAACACGACGAAGCTGAAAAATATTTTTTGCAGTCCTCTAGGCCTGTCGAAGCTTTGTATCTTCGACGAGATCTCATGCAGTGGGTGCAAGCTTTGAGCTTGGCACAAAGTTTGAAGCCCGATGAAATACCTTACATAGCTAAAGAATACGCTCAACAATTAGAATTCACGTAAAAAATCTTGTTTCACGTTACGATAACGATCGATACAATTTTATAAATTCACTGTTAAATAACGATTTGCAGGGGTGATTATCCAAAAGCACTTGTTAACTACGAGAAAGGACTTTCTGATGCCAAACAAAATTCGAGTCATAAAATACAATGTCTCGCTGGGATAGCTCGTACATCCATAAGGTGTGGAGATAGCCGTAAAGGCGTCAGTATAGCTTTAAATCCTGAAAGCCCTCGTTATGTTAGAAAAGAATGCGCTGAAATTCTCGAGAGCATGAAGGTAAAAGTCTTAATTTATTTTTCAATTTTATTCATTTTTTTTTATAATAATATAAATAATAATAATTTTTTATGATCAGCAATTCAATGAGGCAGCTATATTATACGAGAAAGCCGAATACTTTGACAAAGCAGCATCGGCTTACATTAGATTAAAAAATTGGAAAAAAGTTGGTCAATTATTACCGCAAATATCTTCACCAAAAATTAATATACAATATGCACGAGCAAAGGAAGCAGAAGGAAAGTTTGATGAAGCAGCCAAGGCATACGAAACGGCTAAGGATTACGATAACATAATTAGAATCAATTTAGAATACTTGAATAATCCAGGTAAAATTTGAAATTAATCTTTTGATATTATAGAAGATATATTATTAAAATTTTTGATTTTGTTACAAAGCTCGAAGTGTTGAGGTAGTTCAACAAACTAAAAGCATCGAAGGTGCAAAGATGGTAGCTAGATTTTTCCAGAAAATGAACGACTACAATTCAGCTATAAAATTCCTCATACTATCCAATTGTCACGACGAAGCATTTCAACTTGCCAATCAACATGGCAAAATGGAACTTTATGGTGAAATTTTGGCCAACAATGCTGACGACGGCAATATCAGAAGCGAAGACTTTAGGAGCTTGGCCATTTACTTCGAATCGCAAAAAAACAATCAACTGGCTGGAAAATATTACTTTTATGCTAAAGAATTTCACAAAGCTTTAAAATTGTTGCTCAAAGCAGCTCAGATATCAGCAAAAGACGAAGAGGCCATAAGTTTAGCGATTGATACGGTTGCAACTTCGAAAGATGAAAAATTAGCTAATCAACTTATTGATTTTCTATTAGGCAGCGACGGTATACCTAAAGTACGTAAATTATATGTTTTAAATTACTTGTTATAAAAAAAAATTCCTTAAAATTATTCTTTAACTTAGGATCCCAAATACTTATTCCGGTTGTACATGGCTCGCAAGCAATATCGCGAAGCAGCTAAGACAGCCGTGATAATAGCGAATGAAGAACAAATAAATGGAAACTACAGAAATGCTCATGATGTTTTATTTGCGATGTATCAAGAGCTGAAACGCAATAAAATCAATGCGCCGTTTGAAATGCAGACCAGTATGAGACTACTGCATTCGTACATTCTCGTCAGATTGCATGTTAAAAAAAATGATCACGTTAAGGGAGCAAGAATGTTGATACGAGTTGCAAATAACATTTCTAAATTTCCAGCCCGTACGTATTGATCAATATTAAATTAAATTAAATTCCAGATTCATCTGTTTATTTGTATAACTTATAAAGGTATTATTTTGAATATTAATTTTGATAGATGTGGTTCCTATTTTGACTTCGACGGTAATCGAATGCCATAGAGCTGGTCTTCGAAGCGCAGCATTTAATTTTGCTGCTATTTTAATGCGACCAGAGTACAGATCACAGATTGATGCAAAGTACGCGAAAAAAATAGAAGCTATTGTAAGAAAACCTCCCCGGGGTAGTAAAGAACGCGATGAAGATGAACCATTAACTAGTTGTCCATACTGCAAGTGCCGATTACCTGAATCTGAAGTTAATTGTGATAAATGCAAAAATACTATACCTTTTTGTATTGCAACGGTAAATATTTGTTTTAAATTGAACTATTCTTTGATATTCAAAGTTTTACAATATCTTACCATTTATTTTTTCATTTAGGGTCGTCATATAATTGAAAATGACTTCACGGCCTGTCCGCAATGTGACTTTCCAGCCATAAAAAGCGAATTTTTAAGGTAAAGAATCTTAAAAATGTCTTAAATTATTTTATCATAATTATATCAATATGACCCTTTGAGATCTTTAACTACTGAAAATAATCTTTATATTTTATTTTTATTAAAAAAAATTTATGATTTACAGTATTATAGAAACAGACGAAACTTGTCCAATGTGTTCGGAGCACGTAAATCCAAAAAGTATTCCTACTAATTTGGACATCCGGCCGTACCTGTATTTTCACAGTGAACGTGATCAGAAGATAGAAACTTAGATACAGTGAGTCAAAAGGTAAAAGTATTTCTGTAATAATTAAACCAAAATTCGGTAAATGTTTAATTCGTTTCCTTGCGATAAATGATAGTTGATATGATATTTAAATGTACAAAGCGTCACAAGCTAGGTGCAAACTTTCTTAAAATATTTTAGTTGACATAGTAATATAGAAGAAAGCAGCACCATACAAATTGGTTAAATGAAATTATAAAATGCATAGATTTTTAGCTGAACAAACATGAAAAAATGTTCAATTATGTATTTTATTCTTCTAATATGAAGGTAATGAAAACAAAGAGCCTTGCGAAATTCGTACTTAAATCTTTGATCAAATAATTTCGCGAGTTCCTTTGAGTAAGTAATTTTTATTTTTATTTAAACTACCAGTTCCGTCCAATGTTATTATGTTAGTAAAATGTTAACTATAAATATCGTCAATATTTATGATTAAGCAGCAGCAATGATCTCAAATTAAAATGGAATTTTTTATATTTTGTTTCAAATAGTTATATTCTTCTAAGATGTCAGGCTGAAACGTTATTATTAGTTTTATTCTGTAAAAGTTTACGAGTATTAAAAATTTCCAATTGCAAAAATGTCAAAGATCTGTTTATGTATGCAATGAATTATTTGTCAAAAAATAAAGATTGTCTTGAAAAAAGTCGTCTACGATTATTATATTAGCTGATCGCATGAAAATTATACTCAATCGTGAGCAAAAGATTCAAAAACGAAACACTATGTACAAAACCTACCAAGACTTTCTCTTTTTCGCTTGTTTACACAGACGCATCGCGCGAACGAAATAAAATTCGTATACCGTCCGGGTGCGCGTGGGAGTGAGTTAACGATGGAGTTGTCGAAAAACATATAGATAATTAAGAATAGGTGTAGTGTAGCTTCTCGGACGAAAGATTATTTTTAAAACGTTACTTTTACGAAAGCATATGTGTTAGCGCTGCTCGTTCTGACACGAGCAAACGATTTTTCGCCTTTATTTACTCGAGCAAGCCGTATTCACCTATATACTATAGTGGAGATTTTTGTAAAACTCGAAAGACAGGATGCTAAACACGCGAAAATGAGCGTTTTATATACGCGAGTTTATATTGCGGCCGAGCGCGTTGCGATCTATTTCCAGTCGGCATTATATTGTAATGCAATATACGCGACCACCGATAATGTGTGTGCGTTTCCACCATATAACGTGAATGTTAGAGGCTGATTACACGCGTAATACACTCGATATGAAAACCATTCACGATACTCACTTCTCGGCTCGCACTGTAATTATTGATCGAATTATTATTGGTCGAGGAGCCGTGCGTACAGTCGAATTGAGACGTGGGTATATTGTCGAGAAAAAATTTTAGTCCAGTCAAATTTTATCAAACTTTGTATTAAAACTGAAAAGAATTTACAACCGCAGTAAGTCATTATTAGTTAAATTTGATGTTTATAGGGACGATCAATTAGTACAAAATGTGACACTTGAGTGGAATGAAATATTAACAATTGAGGTATTTGAAAATTAACAAGAATTGAGGGTGATAAAAATTTGATAATTTTAATTTGTCATTAAAGATTTCAATAATATCATAGCAGAAAAATTGATCGTTAACAATTCGAGATTACCATTTTAATAATTCAGCATCCAGAAAAATATTTTTCATGGATATTACATAAATGTTGTTCAATAATATCATAGCCGAAAAATCGTTGATAATTGACAGTTTAAATATTTAGGAAAATATTTTCAAATTAGAATCAAACTGTCATACTTTATATTTATGGGCTCCGACATCGGGATGTAACAATGCAAAGATGATCGTCGTAAATTAGCGAATTAGCAGTAGTAGGTTTTTATTCTTTTTTTGAAAATAATAATTGTCACGATTTTAAATTATTGCATATAAATATTGTCCTACATGTAGGATTAGTGCAAATTTTACAATTACTTCAATTTTTAATTTTTGAACGTAAGTGATCTTATTTTTCATTTCAATTCAATTGGTCCACTTAGCAAACACACAAGCAGCCTAAGCCCATGTGCTGTAGAGCATTTATTCGTAGTTCAGTGTCGCACGCACGTAGAAAACGCACGTTGGGCGAGCTTCTGTCAAACGCGATCGCTGATGCAATACCGGTGCTCAATAATCGCACATGTTGTCGGTAACAAGCTCCGAGAGCCGGCCCATCGTAGAGGTTAGTTTGGTGTATTTTGCATGTGAGTCATTTTTTACTGTTTTAATTGTATACCGTTTAGTGAGTGACAATAACTGTTGATCTAATTGAATTTATCCTTGATATTTCCAAATTTAGGAGAAACTGCACCTGTATTGATTTGTTGAAGTCCTACACTGTAGAATAAGAAGTTAATTTCAATGATGGAGAAAGAAATGTATAGAGAGACCGACAGGGTGAAAAAAATATCCAATGTTACATTTAGCGTTGACAGTTCACATCGCATGAAACTTCAAAGTCACATGCAAGTGGTATGTCAAGAACTTTATACGCTGGATGACCATAAACCAGTTCCTAATGGTTTGCTTGATTCAAGAATGGGCAGTAGCTCAAGCAGTAATCATTGTGGTACATGTGGAAAGAATAATTCACAATGCATGGGCCATTTTGGCTACGTTGATTTAGAATTCCCAGTTTTTCATGCTGGATACTTTAGATTAACTATAAATATTTTACAAACTATTTGTAAAAAATGTTCTCACGTTTTGCTCAGTCGTGAAGATAAAATTAGATTTTTAGCCGCAATCAATAAACCAGACAAGACATATTTAGAAAAAAAAGCTTTGCGTCAAACTATTTTAAAAAAAGCTCAAAAATGTTCAGTATGTCCATACTGTGGTGATGTTAATGGTACTGTTAAAAAGGGTGGTTTTATGAAAATTGTACACTTGAAATATAGAAATAAAAAAGAAACAGATCCTTTGATAAAAGAACAAATAGCAGAAATACAGAATGTCATTGATAATTATTCAGAATTAGAAGGTATGAATAAATCAAATATAGAATTAAATTTGCTTCCAGCACATGTTTTAGAGCTTTTTAAACGCATACCAGAACAAGATATACCTCTTCTTTTGATGAATATCAAGACTAGCCTGCCTGAAGATCTAATTCTTACGAGATTGCCAGTTCCTCCAATTCCTATCAGACCTAGTGTAGTTTCAGATTTGAGAGCAGGTACTAATGAAGATCATCTGACCAGCAGATTGGCCGAAATCATTAAAACCAATGGTTATATTAGGAAAATACAAGAACGTGGTCCTAATGTTCCTCAGTACAATGAGGGTCTTGAGTATTTACAAATACTATGTGCCTTGCTCATCAACAGTGAAATTACAGGTATTCCATATGATAAATCTGTTGTGCCTGGCAAAGGTTTAGTCCAACGTCTGAAAGGAAAGCAAGGCCGTTTCAGAGGTAATCTATCCGGCAAACGTGTTGATTTCTCCAGCAGAACTGTCATTTCACCCGACCCGAACCTAAGAATCGAGCAAGTCGGCGTGCCGGTTGAAGTAGCTAGAACTTTGACTTATCCAGAAAAAGTCACGAAAATAAATATTGAATTTATGAGACAGTTGGTCCTCAATGGACCAGACGTACATCCCGGTGCCAATTACATCATTAAAAGGAAAAACAAACTTATGACAATGTTGAAGCATGCAAGAAACCGTGATCAGGTAGCCAAAAATCTCGATTACGGCGACACGGTCGAAAGGCATCTTCTCGACGACGACGTGGTGCTGTTCAATCGTCAGCCGTCCCTTCACAAACTCAGTATAATGGCCCACAAAGCCAAGGTGCTGCGGGATCGCACGTTTCGCTTCAACGAGTGCGTCTGCACGCCCTACAACGCGGACTTCGACGGCGACGAGATGAATCTGCACTTGCCGCAGACCGAAGAGGCTCGCGCCGAGGCTCTGGTGCTGATGGGCAACAAGTCGAATCTCGTGACGCCCCGCAACGGTGAACTGATGATCGCCGCCACACAAGATTTCATCACTGGATCCTATCTGCTGACGCGCAAAGACAATTTTTTCAACAAAGCTCAGGTCTGTCAAATAATCGGTCAAATCCTCGTTGGCCAGGATTCGAATACCGTAATAACGTTGCCACCACCGGCCATCATGAAGCCGATGGTCCTGTGGACTGGAAAGCAGATTTTCAGCCTGCTGATTCGACCGAACAACAAGTGCCCGATCAAGGCCAATTTGAGAACCAAAGGCAAAGCCTACACGAGCGGCGAAGAGCTCTGCGTCAACGACTCGTACGTCATCATTCGCAATTCGGAGCTGCTGGCCGGCTCCATGGACAAATCGACTCTCGGTTCCGGCTCCAAACAGAACATCTTTTACATATTGCTGCGCGACTGGGGCGAGGACGCGTCGACGTCCGTTATGTGGAGAATGGCCAGGGTGGCCAGTTACTACCTCATGAATCGTGGCTTCTCCATCGGCATCGAGGACGTGACGCCGGGCCAGGGTCTGCTCGACGCCAAGAGAAAGCTGCTCGAAAGTGGCTACACCAAGTGCAACGAGTACATCAAGCGCATGGAAGCCGGCAAATTGGCCTGTCAGCCCGGCTGCAACGAGGAGGAGACCCTCGAGGCCATGATACTCAAGGAGCTGTCGGTAATTCGTGATCACGCCGGTAAGATCTGCCTCAAAGAGCTGCACCCGAGCAACAGTCCGCTCACTATGGCTCTGTCCGGGTCGAAGGGTAGTTTCATCAACATCTCGCAGATGATAGCCTGCGTGGGCCAGCAAGCTATAAGCGGTCACCGAGTGCCCAACGGTTTCGAGGATCGAGCTCTGCCCCACTTCCGCAAGTTCAACAAGGAGCCGGCGGCCAAGGGCTTCGTCGAGAACTCCTTCTACTCGGGCCTGACGCCTACCGAGTTCTTCTTCCACACGATGGGAGGTCGCGAGGGTCTCGTCGACACGGCCGTCAAGACCGCCGAGACCGGCTACATGCAGCGACGTCTCGTCAAGAGCTTGGAGGATCTGGTGCTGCACTACGACATGACCGTGCGCAATTCCGTCGGCGATCTCGTCCAGCACAAGTACGGAGGCGACGCCCTCGACCCCACCTATATGGAGGGCAAAGACTGTCCGGTGGATTACAAGCGCATCCTCGAGGACGTGAGGGCGAGAGATCTCTGCCCCGACGAGGAACCGCTCGACGGCCCGAGCATTACCATAGCGACCGAGAGGTTGCTCAAACAGGACGAGTACAGCTGCTTGGACGAAGAATTCAAGAACGAGATGAAGCAATTCATCAAGACCACCGCCATCAAAGTCTCGAAGATGCGGCAGCACTTGAAGGGCGACGCGCCCGTCAATCGACACATCGAGCGCTTGACTGTGAGGCAGCTAGTCAGTTTCATACACACTTGCAAGGACAAGTACATGAAGGCCAAAATCGAGCCGGGCACCGCCGTTGGCGCCTTGGCCGCCCAGAGTATCGGCGAGCCGGGCACGCAGATGACCCTGAAAACCTTCCATTTTGCCGGTGTCGCCTCGATGAACATCACTCAGGGTGTACCGCGTATCAAGGAAATCATCAACGCGAGCGCCAAGATCAGTACTCCCATCATCACCACGACGTTGGACGACGACACGGATCCGGAGTTCGCTCGTAGAGTCAAGGGTCGCATAGAAAGAACGACTCTCGGCGAAATAACCAAGTGCATTCAAGATGAGGTCGATCCCAAAGGTATCCGTCTTGTTTTAAAAATTGACAGCGAGCGCATAAGACTTCTGAAACTCGAGATCAACATCTACACTATCGCTCATGCGATCTGCACTTCCAAGTTGAAAATCAACGAACAAGCCGTCGAAGTCAATGAAAGAGGCTGGAAGGTCACCATTTATCCCGTCAAGATGAAGTCAAAACTAAGCCTCAGCACTCTGATGGCCAATCTAAAGGAGAACCTGCCCAGCATCGCGGTAAAGGGCATAGCCTCGGTCACGAGAGCGGTCATACACAACGACGACTCGTCGGGCAAAACGAGGTACAAGCTGTTCGTGGAGGGCTACAATATGCGCGAGGTCATGGCCACGCGAGGCGTCAAAGGCGCCAACTGCACGTCCAACAACACCATGGAGGTCTACAGCACTCTGGGCATCGAGGCCGCTCGAACGACCATCATGAAGGAAATCAAGGACGTCATGGAGAATCACGGAATGAGCATAGATCGTCGTCACTCAACCCTCGTTGCCGATCTCATGACCAGGGACGGCACAGTACTGGGTATCAACCGACAGGGCTTGTCGAAGCAGAAGGAATCCGTCCTCAACTTGGCGTCTTTCGAGAAGACCGCCGATCACATGTACGACGCGGCCTATTTCGGACAGACGGACGCCATCACGGGCGTGTCCGAGGCCATCATCATGGGAATTCCAGCTCCCATTGGCACGGGTTGTTTCAAACTTTTACAAAAAGTCGAAAAGGACCCGGTGCAGCCCAAACCGCTGCTGTTTGAATCCCTCGTTAATAAGACCAACAATAATGAGACGAAGGTGAAAGCTTAGCTGCATCTGTTACGTTGTTTAATTTTATTTTCTTCTAGTTGTATTTTTAATAGGAAAAATTTTATTAATATATTTTTATTAATAGCTATAAAAAATTAGAAAATTTGTTTTATATGAATATGTACACAGTGCATGATAGCGCCATACTTAATTTTTATTACAAAAAGAAGAAAAGTCAGTTCCTTCTATTGCATTATTTAATAGGAAAAATTAAATAATAATTTTATAAAATACCTATAAAAAAATTAGTAAATTTATTTTTTATGAATATGCACTATGTGCTTGATAGCACCATAGCTAATTTATACAAAATAAGAAAAGTCAGTTCCATCTGTTGCATTGTTCAATAGGAAAAAGTAAATAATAATTTTATAAAATAGTTATAAAGAAAATTAGTAAATTTGTTATATGTGAATAACACATATTGTGCTTGTAGCACCATAGCTAATTTAACATATAATATTGTTTTCTTCCTGTTGTATGTTTATTAGGAAAAATGTAAATAATATTGAATATTATATGTACAAAAAAAATTAGCAAATTTTTTTTTTTATGTGAACGAGCACACGGTGCTTGTAGCACAACATCTAATTTAATGAATAATAAAATATTTTTCATGCGTTTCAAAAATTTAAAAACCAGCATTTTCATTCGCTCCTTCGCTTTATCTGAAACTACGCTCGATCGCTCATGTGTACTTTGTATACAACTAATGCACGACGAGGAGCGCTATTACACGTACGGTACGTATCGCTGCTGCGCGCATGATGTAACTATTCGCGAATAGCGTGATATAATTTCTAAACTACTCCAAGTCACGCGCAATAATTGCGATCGCGTACAGAAAAAGAGAAAGAGACTCGTTTTTGTACGATTTGAATTGCTTCGGTCTCCTCTCTAGCTCGTATCATAAAGAGACGCTATTAAATGCGACAGTGGTCGGTGCTGCTCGCGGACAATGATTTGAATGAACGACAATTTGATTTCTAGTTTTATTCTCTGCAAATAGTCTCTCAAATTCTTCGACGAAATAATTAATGAAAAATAGTTTCGCAAATTTTGCGCGATCGCTGCCTATAAAGAACGCATACAAATATAATTAAGTTTATTAAGCCAGTTAAAACGATATAAAATGACAAGAAGGAATGATCGGATTGTGCCAACGCGTCGCTACGAGAAGAAGCCTTTTTGAAGCAGCAGCAACTACAACCGATCCAAAACCAAAACATCGATAAATGCAAGGGCGTCGAAACAGTTTACTACACAATATGCAGTCGGAAGCTCGATCGAATGCGCGTCGACGACAGAGAGACGGCAGCGGCGTAAGCCTGTCAGATTATATAGTCGCGCGTCTGTCTGTTGTGTATGTAAACAAATATATATATCGAGACGCAGCAGCAGTCAGTGCTTGGCAGCGACGACTCTTACAGTGCTCCGAAGCTCGTTGTTGGCTGGCTGGTGCTGCAGATGCGACTTTAAAATACGAAAGTAAACATTGGCGGCGTGACTCTCTCATCGGAGCAGAAGCGCGGCTACAGCGGGGCACGTAATCGCACGCGCGCCTATTTCATATCGTATATAGGTAGTAGGTATGTGTTGAACTCGGAAAGTGCATGTGCGAGTGCAGCGGCGTGCAGGTATATTATTGCTAAACTGGAGCCGCGTAAGTATCGAAACTATGTTTGTCTGCGAGAGAGAGAGAGAGAGTGCTGATAGCTTGGAAAAAGGCACTCTACAGCTTACGAGTGGCTACGCAGTTCAATCCTCTCTTTTTCTCTCTTTCTTTTTTGCAGGCTAAAAAGTAGAGTGCGGTTACGAAATTTTTTTTTTAAATATACAGCTGTGCGCTGCGCTGCAGCTCGATCGAGTCGGGTGCCTCTCGCGCAGCTCGCATGCGTGTATATGTTTCGTACAGATATATAAGTAAGCTACATAGCGAAGCGGTGCTCAACAGGGGACTGCGGCAGCTCGGGAGTAATAAGACATGAGGCCGGATTTTTTCGCACACTGCACATACGCAGCGCATAAAACGACCGTAAGGCACCGCGCGCGCCAAGTTGAGCGTATAGCGCAAGCAAAACGGTATAGCAGTCAGTCCTCGCGACTTGTCGCTGCTGCACACACGCACGAGCTTGATCTCGGGGTCTCGCGTAATATTAAATATTCGGAGCGGTGCAGCTCTTTTATTTTCTTTTTGATCGTTCGTCGTGAGAACATGAACTCTTTTACACTCCGTTACTTGTATAGTGACTGAATAAGTAATAAGTCAGTGATCTAAATATTGGATTTAGGAGCCGCGCACTTTTTTTATTACAACGTGAGTACATATATCAATGATGCAGGCAACGTAGCTCGTTGTCGTCTACCTTATAATGTATAATTTACAAGCTACCAGGCTCGCAGTGCAGTTGCACCGAAAATGTGTTAATGTTTACTGCGAAACAAGCGCGCAGGGATAGAGATAAGCCCGGCGCGTATCGCCAACTCCATATACATACTGCCTCGCATCGCATCTCTCGAGTGCCGTAACGCCGTTTTCGTAATCAATCTTTTCGCAGCTTGTGCGCGCTGATGATATATTTATAAAGCGTCCGCTTATTCGGCTGATTGGCTGCGCAGTGCACGCGCGAGCATTTTCTCGGGATCAATCATGCGTTTCGATACATGGGAGAGACTATTTTCGAGTCTCTCGAGTGCGGCGCAACGCTATGTAAGGTGTTGTTGTTGTTGTGTTGTGTGCCTGCCTGTATCTACCCCACACACGCGTTTTGGCGCCCGACCGCCGGCTGCGCGCCGCCGAATCACGGGTCCATGACATCGGCGCGGTTATAAGGCGACAACAACGCAATAAGCGCAACGATATTATTTTACCTTTTGATATAATACCTATGTATGATTTTCATATTTCGCAATACGTGCGCGATAATACGCGGCCGCACGGCTCGCGAGATGTTGATAAGAGCCGCCGTTTTAACAGGTGTGGCGCGTCCCTCGCGCGTTTATATGCCTGCCGTATGCGTGTGTTGTATTAAAATGTGCATTAACAGGCTGCTACGTACTGCTACTGCTGCCTGTTGACGAATGTGCAGTTTTGACCGCGTGCAACTGCCTCACTCGAATATAGTGTAAGAGAGTGCGAACTGCGCGACTTTCGGTCGCAGCTCCTATATACCTGTAAGCTATTTACTCGCTTCCTCGATTGACCGCGACGCAGAGACTTTTCTTTTGCTCCGCACTGCTGCCTGTGGCCTCTCCTCTCCTCACTGTGTCTCTGTCTATCTCACTCTCTCTCTCTCTCTCTCTCTCTCTCTCTCTCCTCATACGCTTATGTACACCTATAATATAAGCACCTCGTATACGTTTCAGTAATAATTCGCAATCCAGTGAGTCCAGACGTCGCGCGAGTAAACCACGCGCGCTCTACTGAAATCGTAGGCAAACGCACACACACGAGAAAAACCACTTGAACAAAGCCAGCGTATTATTATGGCCGAAGCGGACAAATCGAGTCCCGGAGCAGCCGATGCTGCCGCCGCCTTGACCCTCAGCGAGTACCTCGTCGCCTTCGTCCTCGAGATCGTGCGCAGCCCGGTGAATATCGGCCTCGTCGCCGTCATCGTGCTGCTCGTTTACAAAATATTCTTCAGCAGCCACAAGAACCAGGAGGCCGCGGCGCCGATCAAGCAACTGCCCAAGCTCAGGCGGGACTTCACCGTCGAGGAGCTGAGACCCTACAACGGCACCGGTCCCGATGGCAGGATCCTCGTCGCCGTCAACGGCAACGTCTACGACGTCACCAAGGGCGCTCGTTTTTATGGACCAGGTGAGACAGCGTTTTGTTTCTTGTCCGCGATGCGGCTAGTTTTTGCGCTCCTATAGCTGCTGAAACTTGATGAGTCACTACAGAACAACACTTCAAGTGTTGTGAAATTAACATTTGTTCGGTTCATGAGATTTCTCAACATGTTCAGAGGATAATTTACAAACTTATTTATCATAATTATTTCTAATGACACCCTATTGCCCATTTGGACCATATTGATATATCATCAGATAATGTAATATTCAGTTTTGTTTCAATTATGCAAAAAAATCAAGTTTCTGACTCATCAATAAGAATTGTGTAATTTTAATTTTTAAGTTTGTAAATTCCATACTAATTTTAATGAAAAGTACCCATAATTATACCAATTTTTCATAAAAAGTATTGGTAACATGCAATCCATAATTTAATTCAATGAACTCCTCAACCGAAATACTAAACTTGCATTAAACTTTTTTAGGTGGACCCTACGGTGCATTTGGAGGTAGAGATGCTAGTCGTGGCTTAGCTACTTTCTCAGTTGTTCCAGGCAAAGATGAATATGATGATCTCAGTGACTTGCAAACGGAAGAAATGAATTCCGTCAAAGAATGGGAAGAACAGTTCAAAGGTAAATATATTTTTAAAATGAATATATTAACTATAAGTTCTAAGTTATACTGAAGTTCTATATACAGTAGTTGTAAATAAATAGAATATTTTTGAATACAAACTTATGATGTATTAAACATGAGATCAATGTATGTGGTCAAAGTTTAGTTTACTAAATTCTGTAAAAAGTTTTAAAATTTTATTGCATAATATTCTTTAAAGATTTTGTCTTGATTTAAAATTTATTTCACCAATGTATTTGTGGAAATGAATTATGTAATTTGTTATCAATAATCTGATGAAAATTTAATATTTAATATGTAATAAAAACTATTTGTTTTAATAACAGAGAGATACGACCTTGTGGGAAAACTTTTGAAACCTGGAGAACCTCACACTAATTATTCAGATGAAGAAGAAGAAGAAGGAAGTCAACAAGACAATGAACCAAAATCTAAAAATGAATGACCACTTTAAAAAAACATCTAAAGAAAATAGTTTAAAGAAATTGAGCAAATTATATTCACTTAATACCGCGAGTTTTGTGAATAAGTTGGATACACAGCTTAATCAGGGCCGTAGCCAGAAAATTTTTTCGGGGGGGTTTACCCGGGTTACTTATGTAGCTTGGGTTACCATTAACAGAAGGTAAAATCCCAAATTTCGGGGGGGGTTCTGACACCCAAACCCCCCCCGCTGGCTACGGCCTTGAGCTTAATACTTTTTAACCATTGTGCTCATCAATTTTTTAATCAAATGTACAAAAACTTGGAAATAATGATTCAAACATTTATTAAACTTGAATGCAACGTAAGTGAATGAATGTATATTTTGAATGTTAGATATTCAAATGCGAATATTCAAGATGATTGTTGGAAAAACATTACTTGTATATACAAATGTGTGTTGATCTTATAAGCATATAATCTGAGATTTAAAATTTCCTCAAGAAAATCAAATTACTTTGCAGTTGAACTTAAACTGCAAAGAATGTTGCTAACATTTTAATATTTTGCTATTACCGTTGGAATTATTACACAGATTTAAAATCTTCAGTAACTGAAAAACAGTGAAGAAATCAAAAGACTAAAGTGTGCATTTGAAATAAAAGCATTGTTTTTTATAAAACTTGTGAAATTAATAATTAATAGGGTACCAATTGAAACAGCACTCGGACTAAACATTTTTTATCAAGATTAATGGTTTCATTTATTATGTGAGGTTGTTAGTACAAAGATTTTTTAATTGGCTACTAAGTTAAGTGAAGTGTACTACTTTTATGTATGGATTAATTTTTTTTTAAATTGTACGCATCATATAGTAGTAGTCGTGTCTATTAAGCAGGGAGTTTTCTTTGGTACATTGTTTTACAAAAAATAAAAATAACAATTTTCTTACAAAATATTTATTTTAGCATATTTTTTCATGGCTGTTCTGAAAATTCATTTAAAAATCATGCAGCAACTAGTCTATCGATAAAAAATTTATTTGTAAGGTTTTTTCTTTCAATTATCAAGTTATACCGTTGTTGACAATTAAATAAAAAAATATATTATTTTGCATAGTAATAACTGTTGTAAAATTCTTTGTACATTTATCTTTATATATTTGAAGTTTAACTTTATGGGAAGTCAAAATAACATAAGCATGCCTATTTTTTCCATGTACAATTATAAAATTACATGGTAAAAATTATTTAAAAAAATATATTATTTGCATTGGTAGTGCTCATACAATTTAAATGATTTTTTATCGTCATCTATCTTCTTTTTTATTGTTGAAAATTCGAGCCATACAATGTGAATATTTTTTTTATAAAAGAGTGGATTTGCAAAAGTTTGTAAAAGTAAATGCTTTCCAATATAGATCATTGAAACGTTACTTTAATTGAAACAAAAAAAATCTGTTCCCACGAGTTCAAGGGGTTGCTAATTACTTTGCAATTCATGAGCGAAGAAACGTCGAGGCCACGTTGTAAGCTTCAAACATATGCCAAGATCGTAGGCGGCCCACCGCTGACATCTCAAGAAGTTCGTATTATTTATTTTTGTATATCATAATGAAAGAAGGAAGAAGTGCCGGTGCAAGGTGTCTTCATGTACACAATATAGGAAAATACAAATGTCACAAAGTGGTTTGACGGTATTCTCGAGCATTTGCGTAGATGGCAGTTTTTCACCGCACATCCACCATCTAGCTATGATTTCTTGCTTTGTGGACGTTCGGCTAGGTGAACAGATCATCGCTCATATTCTTACTTTACATCATTTTGAAGAACGCTTTGTTCAACTTAAATCGACTAAATTTGCAATAAATTTTGCAGAATAATAATTTTTGATAACAAAATGGTTAATAAAAGATTAAAAAAAAAAATCATAATCCTCAAATATAATGACATTAAGGGAGGTTTTTTTCAACCCTTTAGTAAAAAACAAAGCATATGCTTGATTAGAACTGCATAATTAGAACAAATACAAATTAAAAAATATTTTCCAATTTTAACTTTTTCATTAATTTTTTTCGAAACATATGTTGATGGGTAATTTGAATTTTAAGACTCCCTGGGGAAATGGTAATCAGAATTTTTTCAAAAATATTCAAATTAATTGATTCCATATTAAGGTTACAAATTTGTTTATTGGACGCATTAAAAAATAATCAGATGTTCCTAGAAAACGCAACATATTGCCAGCAAAAATTAATGAATTCGCGATTGCCATCTGGAAGCGAAAAGTGACACGCTGGCAAAGGCAAAAACGATCGAGTACATCTACAATGATATGATCGGGACTCGGAAGGACCGAGTCCGTGCTTAACCTCTTTTCGGAAATCAGCACAGTAGGTAAGCGACAGTCACGATATCATAGTTGCAGTCAATGGACATCTCTTGTGTTTATATGCAGGCCGAGCTAAGCCTACATAATGCATTTCAACTCGTTGCTCACGTGTGCTGCTGCTACATGCGGCGTTTATTCCTTGAAAAATTTGAATGAAAATACGAGTCAAATAGGGCGTTAATGATGATCATTAACGAAGACATTCAGCCGAGTCATCGCATACGTGAACAGGTACCAGCGTTAATGGCTTTCTTAATGACCCGATGAGTAGAGATCTCCGATAAGCTACTATAAAGCCAACAATCCCGACCGAATCCGTACCATCAGAATTAATGGGTTTACGAACGAATAGAACTAATATTTAATGACTCCACCGATAGATAGTTTAATCGATTCTCGATCGGGGAAAAAAAGGTCCGCGCCCGAAGTCGAGTTTAACAAAAAAATGGTGGACAACACTCCGAAATGAATCCGAACCTCGACACTCGTATACGATACATAATGTCGTCGTGTCTTGTGAGTGCTGCCCTGCAGTGTACGGTCGAAATTCGAATTTGCGCATCGCAAAAATTGAACAGCGGCGGCAGCAGGCAACCCGCTCAACACAGCTCGACTCTATTTACACAGCGTCGCGCGATGTTATGATGATGCTTGGCAAACATAAGGCCAAAGTGAGGGTAAGGGGCGGCGCGGAGAGGCAGGAGATGCAGGAACAGCAGTAGTCTATTCGTCGAGATTAGAGACTCCGGCGCTCGGGTTCGTTCGCGCGCGCGTCTGCTAGACAAGGACAGGGTGATATCCTCCGGGTGGGTGTGCGTGTGCCTACGTGCGTGTAAGCGCGTGTGCGTGTGTTGTTTTATGTCGAATCTGGCGGTGTGCGCGCTGCACTTTACGAACGTGTCGTGCGCGTCGCCTCTCCTCATGCCCGCCGCCCGCCGCGGGGCCGCTATTATTTTCATCAGCCCTCATCAGTGTGGAGTGAGTGTTCTATGAGCGTGGTGTTCCGACATCGGCACCCGGAGTTTTTCACAATTGAGTCTCCAAGTCCTTTATTTTCGGGACCACGGAGTCCGCGGTTCCAACATAGAGAAGAACAAAACTCGGCGTGGAGGAGCCACGCGCGCCTAGTGTGCACGTATACAGTAACGAGACAGCAAGTGAGTGTGTGTGCGTGAACAGCGCGCCAGGCAAACCCGACTCGTGTCGCTATCTCGCTGCGTTCGCGCGAAGCTTCGTGCCTCGAAGTGCCACGACGACAGATTCGCGCGTCTATCTTTACATCTTCCATACTCTACTTTGCCGCATATACGCGAATTTTACAAGATTCGCATCTAAACGCCCTCGAATTTCTTCGCGAGACTCGAAAATTTTGTGCGTGTATAATTGCACGCACGCACCCGAAAAGAGAAGTACGTAATACGTATCGTTCGAACGATACGCACTTTGCTGACTCGCCGTGACCGGGTCAGTTCGCTTGCGAAGACGGTATTTCTGACTGCAGACCGCGACGCAAAGCCTACGGCGCAGCGATCGTGCAAAAGGCAATAATGAAATAAAAGGAGGAGGGCTCTTCCGTGTGTGTGTGTGTGTAATGCGTTTGCGTTGTGTGCCCGCGAGCAGCGAATGAGGAGAGAGAAAAGCAAACGCGTATACGTGTGCGTATGTACACAGTACAGCCGTAGAGTGGGCTAGAAGCAGCAGTACCAAAAGTGCACCTCTACTGGAGACATATACATATATACAAAGCACACACACGCGCGCAGACCAGTGCGCATACAGTAACAAGAGAGGTAGTAGTGTGCGCAATCCGTGGTGGATTGATGGGATAGCAGCGCAGCGAAGTCTGTGGCACTGGGAGCACACAACCAAGTTAGCCAGCAGCAGCAGCGGCGGCAACAATTCTCGTCGCGCAGCAGCAGCACTGAGGCGCACAGAACATAGAGGCAAAGTAGCAGGCAACACACCACGACTATTCGCTCGGCTCTCCACGGAGTCAGCACAGCAGTCGGGCATCGCAGCAGCAGCAGCAGCAGCAGCCGCCATTTTGCGCCCTGTCTCGCCACTACTACACACCGCAGCAGCGAACGAGAGAGAGCGACGAGCCAGCGCGCAGCTCTCCTCGATATACGACGACGACGACGACGACTTATACGGCTATTATTATCGAGAGAAGCGACGACGGCCAGAGTCTAACACGACGCGCATCGCCACAGATGACTAGAGAATGAGCTCGTCTCGTCCGCGACAAGAACGCAGTTGATAAGCTAGCCATAACCTTCAGACGCCAGGCCACACACTCCACTCGCTGGGAAAACAACATTGGGAAAATATAGGAGAGTTAACGCCAGTCTCTCTCAGTTGTGTCTCGTTGCTTGTGTGCGGTCTCTCATCGTCTCTCTCTTTCTCTCTACGACCCATCTCACCGTCGTTCCGTCTCACTCGCTCTCGTGCGTGCGTGCCTCTGCCACTGTACGTACTCGTCGTTCTATCTCTCTCTCTTTCTCCCGCTGTTGATGTGCGTGCGTTGTAAATATATAGAGAAGAAGTGTGTACGTCGACGAACGCGCGTGTGCATATTCGCTTGGGTTCTCTCTCGGCACTGCAACATTCCCGCATAACCCCGGACAAGTGTTATGTGTGTACATAAATTCTCTGTTGTTTCCCCGTAATCAAAAAAAGTGTATACGTGTGCGCGTGTGTCCCCAAAAACGTGTATGTGTCAGTGCAGAACGCAACAACGGCCCACGACAGTCGGAGCACAGTAACAACCCCCCCAGAGCAGCAACAGCAGCAGCGAACCCGAGGACGGCACATAGGAAGAGAATCGCTCTCCGTGTGACCATCATCGTCCCGAGTCAGCAGCAGCCAAGCCTGCCGCTTTATGTACTACTACTCTAGCTAGCAGCGCGCGCGCTTCGCTACGCCCGCACACAATAATATTACAACGTAACCCACACACAAAGTCTCTCGCGAAACGGGTGGACTTTCTAGCCGTGCACGACGTGTCTCGTACCCACCCGCACGTCAACAGAGCAGCGTGATCAAGAGGGTGACGATACACAGAGTGTGACTCGATCATCGGCGAATTGCGCCGCAAATCAGCAGCAGCAACACAGCACACCGGAGACTCTCCTAGCGCGCTTGTGTTTTTGTTGCTCGTGAGAATATCATGTATTTCTTTAGCGTGCTAGCCAATCAAGCTAACTTCTGAACGAATCCTGCCACCTCTGCACGTTCACCCTGCAGTTCCTTGTACACTGTGGCTTGACGTTTCCTACAAGATTACGCTCTAGACTGGAGGCGAGGGAGCGTTTAAACAGTTGCAATGCCACTCAATTGATATCGTTTGGACCCACCTGTGTTCAGACACCAGCAGGAGCAGAATCGTTTTATTCTACCCAAAGATGGAGAGACAACAACATGCGTATGAATCTTGTGTTGACAAAATCTACGAACATGTGCTGCGAGCACAATTTTAGTTTGGATGCAGCTGATTCTTATCGATGGAGAAGTCCAGATTAATTTTATTATCAATATGCGGATTTTTCATGTTCTGTGAAAGCAGTGTATCAACAAAAAACAGAGACTTAACAAAGTGATTGTTATCAAGTGTACATGTGAAGTGTGTTTTTCAATAAAAAATTTGGATATAAGTTTTTTAAAGTAACTCAAAAATAAGAAAAAATGGCTGATCATCTAGTGGATGGGCCGCCTAATAAGCGCCCAAAGCTCAACGATCCTTTTCAAGGTTCATCAGACTCTTCAAGTGAGTATTGTACTTATTTTTTATATTTTATTGATGGTTCAGTTTAATTTGAAACCAGTTGTAATCCTTTTGAACCCTGTATTGCCAATAACCAACTTCATTTTTAGGGCTTTATAATGACCTCTTTCTTGCAATGCAATTCTTTTTTTACACCAAGTTGAGTTTAAAATTAGCGCATATAAGCCTTCAAATTCTTGAGAGTAATAACCAAACTACAAATTTGTCTGTACTTGTTTTGTTTCCAATCAAATCCACCGGTTTGAAATTGCACTTCTAATATTGGTTCTTATTTTGGGTTCTGGGTACCTTTTACAATTGATATGAATAGCATGATCAAAGTTTTCTTGTGAATTTTAAAATCAAGCTTTTAAACTGATTGAAAATTTCAAAGACATGTAAAGCACTGATGTAATGACTCCTAACTGATGTCAAAATTGAATCATTGAAAGTTTGGACTTTAAATTCAAGCGACTTCTGAAAGTCGAAACAAACATAATTTGTAAATATAAAGATAAATCTTGTTTGTTTGTTTTAAATTGATATGAGACATAAAAAGTTGTAATTTAACCACTTGCACAAGACCTACACAATGCTGATTGCAAGTCAAACATGTAAAATTTGAGATTATGAATTCAATCAAGAAAAATGCAGAAATTGTAGACTCTCATGTACAAGTCAGTTTTTTTTTCTTTCCTCACCAGTAATCTCTATTCTATCAAACTCGATGACTTTTAAAGTGTCTCAGTGAAGAGTGTCTATTTTCAAGCAGCCAAAAAATTTGTCAGAGTTAAAATATTTACAATCTCAAAAAATACAATCGTGTTCCATCAATATGCAGCAGTATGCATGCACATCGTTCTCTCTCCGTGTACAAAGACGCGTCTCTATCTCTCTCTCTTTCTCTCTCCCTTTTCTGTCCGGCCGTGTGTGTACGCGCGCTAGGTTAGGTTCGCTGAACAGGTGAGAAAAAGAGCGAGACAGAGAGCAAGAGTGCTTTATAAACAACAAACACCTGATCGAACTGCATTGCCAGATCATTTGTTTATAAACGCGGCGCGCACATGCAATATGCTACGTCCTCTCTCTCTCTTTCTCTTTCTCTCTCGGCAGCACCGCATTGGCAGCCGATTTTTCTTCTGGCTCTTGCTCTCTTCGTCTCTATCTTTGCTCTCTCGTGCCTATAAGTATACATATGTCGTGTACAGGGGAGTAGTATATACGATATCGGAGGCGGTAGGCCTGGCACTTGTGTCAGTTCTGGTCTCGTTCGGACGCTGTGCGTCGAATTCCGTCGCGAATTTGCGCTCTCTGTGACGAAAAACAAGCCCACAAGCCAGGGGTCAGTGAACCCCCCGCATTTTATTTATTGCACCGGTGTACAGGGCGGCATAACGAATTCGGGCCAAAATATACGATCGCTCGCCGCTCATCAGGTCATCGATTGGAAAATCAGATGTCGTCATGGCTCTCTCGATCGCGCGTTGATTTTTCTCGAAAGCTTCTCGCGAAATAGCAGCAGCAGCAGTCTCACCAGAGAAGAGTGGTGGGACTGGTAGCGCCGCGCGCTTAGCTGCTATCGCTCGATGGGCTCGCGGATGCCCAAGCGCTGCCCCGTCAGCAATTCGTGGCACGCGAGAACGAGACGGAAACAGAGTCAGAGATAGCACTGGTGGCTCGTGCCGCGAAGAAAATTAGAAATAGACAAAACGTTATTAGGCGTGAAGCAGCAGCGAGTGTGTGTATAAGGTAGCCGAATGGTATACACGTTGATAAGGTAGCTCGGCTGCGATGGTATACGTTGTGTAGCACAGTATATAAGGTGCCCACGCTCTACGCTGTGCGCGTGGCTGCGTTCTCCCTCTTTTCGCGTTAGGTATGCTCGGCAATGTCTCGTCTGTGTGACCTATTTCTCTCTTTCTCTCGCTCGCTCGCTCGCGCGCGCGCTCTCATGAGCCGCCACTGCCGCTGTGTATATATACGCCGCTGACGCTTCTTCGTCTTGTGTCACTTTCTGCCCATCGCGTCGACGACGTCTTCTCGTTTGTCTGTGTAAACTGCACATTACATGATCCTTTGGATGCGCCCGCGCCTCTTCGCGCGAATCCCTCGAGAGAGAGAGAGAGAGAGGGTGAGTGCAGCTGAGTCCTGCTAAATTTGAACCTGCTTATTTCGAGAGATAATGTTATCGAACTGCTCATTCGTAAATATATGGAAGTTCATTCATAATACACATATTTGTTTACAAACCTTTCTTACGAGTCTGACGTGTAATTCTTTCGTTTCGTAAACAAAGTCATAACGAGATCGGCAGAAGAAAAAATTATCGTGTGATGAAAGTCAATAAAAGAGCCAAATAACCGGCAAACCTTTGCTAAAATTTTTGAGTATATTTTTTATGAAACCGGAACTCCTTGAACTACCCTAAAGTACTATAAAGCTATTCGACGCAAAATTCTAAAGTATTATAAAAAAGTATATTGAAAGAGTGTTTTATGCAAAAAAATGTTCACTGTAACAATAATCGATGCTTTGAAATGTTCAATTACTATACGCGTAAAGAGACCCTTAATTTCTGAAACTCGTTCGTAGGTATATCGGCCTAGTACCCAAATTTTCGAATCAAGCAGGATTTTCGTTGCTATTACGTGCTGCATTATATATTGTACACAACAGTGTGTTGCTTCTTTCTCGACGTGCTGCGCTCTATCTCGGGTGAATTGCGCGAGCAGAGAGCAGCGTGGCGCTTGCAGCCAACGCCGAAAAGAAGTATATAGTGGAGGGACGACGCGCCGCGGCCTGCTCTCTGTTATAATATCATCACACGTATTATACGCGCTCGCGCGATGCTCTCCGATCGCCTTTTATCCTTGGTGCGCTGCGCCACTGCCACCGCCACCGCGACGAAACGAGACGCACGCGCGCCTTTTCGCGATTTCTCGCTCACTTTACAATTCCGCCGTTGTGCATCTTTTATCATAAAAAAACTCTTTTCCAGTCTTTGGTTTTTTCATATTTTCGGCCTCTGCTATACTGCCCCGCATACTTTACTGCTGCTGCGCTTCGGCGTTTGCTCCTCGAAATTTCCTTTTTTTCCACGCGTCCGTCTCGTATTAGACCCCTCTAAGTATACAACCACACTACTCTTTTCATTTAGTTTTCCTCCCTCACTTCCTGATGACGTTAAGTAAACAGTAGAGAATGTACGTGTAGTATGCATACGATTGTATAAAATTGTATTTTTACTCATTTATATTTATAGTATACGTATTTTTACGGTGTAGGATATAGTTGCATGTCGTTTTGCATGTTAATAGTTCTATCACTTTGTTACTATGTTATTGTGCTGTGTATAGTCGGGTTTCTTTTTTTCTTGTTTTTTTTTTTTCAACACTGTCGCTGTTTTGGGTGAAAGGTTCATTAATATTTTTCGAGGAACGCGTCCAAAAAATTTTCAAGGTTTTCTTCTCTTTTCCCGCGACATGATGAAAGAATGCAAAGCGATGAACCTTTCAAATCGACAAATCGACAAAATGGTGATGGAATCGAAAAGTCAGACCCACTCTCGTCGAGTCGTAGCGAGTCTTAGACGATGTGCAAGCTCGCGGGCACCTCTCATATGCCTCTGGGACGCGCGAAAACACGGGGATCAGATAGCGAGCGATGTAAACCGATGAAAAATAATCAATCATACCACATAACGAACACGAACGATAATGAACAAAATCCGGAAATAAAAAGCTCAGGGTCGAGAGTGTGCTCCAAGCCGAAAGCCGGCCACCTCGTGAAAACCAAAAATGACTGATACCTTTTTTCTCGACACGCCTCTCCGTATATTAAATTGACTCGGTATGAATAAAATGAAGTACTTTAAATAAAAGTTGGCAAATACGCAAACAACAAAAACAAGCCCCATTTCTGATTCTGATTAAAACCAAACTCATGATTGTATCTCTACACCGTTGTAATAGTGGGTAATATGACGCCGCACGTGCTGCATCAGTATTCAAATTACACCGGCGATCCAGTTGACAATGGTAACTTGCAAAAGCAGCAGCAGCAGCAGCAACAGCAGCGCCAAATGCACCAGCAGCATCAGCAACAACGACAGCATATGTCAATGATGCAGTATCAGCTGCATCAACGCCAACAGCAGCAGCAGCAGCAGCAACAGCGCCAGCAACAGCAGCAACAAATGCAAATTCAGCAGCAACAACAGCAGCAGCAGCCACAGCCTCAAGCAATCTGGAGCAGCAATAGTTTTAGTAATACTACGAATACTCCAACGATGTCTGGTCGAAAACGAAGTAAATAACATCATAAATTATAAGAAGAATCGGATTTTTTTATGTCAAGCCGGACATAGACGTGGCAATGGCGGTTCATTTCATCTTTTTTACATGCATAAATACTTCTCTAGCGAGGTTCTCAAAAAAGCTCATTTCATTGTTGACTCGAAGATGCCATGAAAGCTCATTTTCATATGTACATCGTTTCGTTCGATTAGATGATAGCGCACTTTGCTTTTGCTTTGAAAGTCGAAAGCACAGTGTGCGAAACGTGTTCCGGATTCAAAAGACGACACTGAGTGTTAAGGATCAATTTAAAAATAAAAAAATACAATTATAATAATTTCAAATTGAAGAAAGAAATGAATGAGTCAAACATAGAGCAAGCTACGAGATAACTTCATCACATCATCATCTACATCGCCAACTATCCTTTATCGACTTGGTTTATATCAAGATCATACGAGAATCTTTACTTACTTTTTCTTCAACTCGTGTCATAACAGGATCATTTACATCATTTATCCTTACATTTTTAAATATCTTTCTTTCATCGAATCAGAAAAACATGACAATAACATATTTTATACCAATGGTCAGACAAAAGGACGTACACATGCCATTTTGACGATTTGACGAGCTTTTTATCCGCTTACTAACTCTTCCGCCAACTGACTCTTTACCCATATATCTTTTGAATATCGAGGAAAATATATAAGACATGCGACAAGCACTTGAAGAACATTGTGGTCTAACGCGGTAGTTGTTTTCGCGTAAGAAACGTATCATACAAAAATCTCACAGCTTTAAAAATTCAATAATATATTGTATTGCATTTTGTTCATTTAGTTGAATGTTCGTCTTTGTATAATTTTAAAATCATAAAGTTACTATTTAAATCATGCCCATTTAATCGTATTTTATGATGTAGATTTAAATGTAAATATATTTTTTATGCATTGCACAATTAAGCATGTAATTTAAAAATTAGTAAGAATCTTAATCGTGGTGTAGTTTTATTGTATAGTAGTTTAAATGTAGTAGTTGCAGCACTTACCCATTTTTTCCATGTATACTGTTGTTTTCTTGTAATCTTTTTTTAAATAGTTTTGTAGCTTTGTCAAAGTAGTGAATGTCGCATGTCTGTAATGTTGAAAAAATTTTAGGTCAATTCATCCTTTTCAGTCTTGGTAAAATCCATTTGTTATTACTATAAATTTTATGAAATAGATTTGGAAGTAATTTAATATTCTTATCTCAAGAGACGGTGGTGGTTGCACATAACTTGATACAACTTTAACATATATTCGACAAACTGTGTCTGATTCACTATCATTTCATTTTTTACTAAAAAAAAAACTCTGACTGGTGTTTTTGATTTTTCAGAAGCATTTTCTTTTTCTCCAAATATTAATAGCTTCTTTCCATTCATTTAACTCATACAATAACTCGTAATAAAAATTTTCATCAAAGTACCATTTTTATCAATTAAAAAAAATTTTTTTTTTTATTTCCATATTTTATAATTTTTTTTTTTTTTTTTAATTTTGAACGACGTTTTCTCAAACTAAATTTAAAAAAAATTCTACCATGGTCATATTCATTGATTGAGTGACAATTCGCGTTTTTCATAGATTAAATTATCATAAATACAAGTCATTTTTCAATCAATACTAATTGTTGGATTATTTCCTTTTTTTTCGTAAAGATTTCATGTCGAACACGGACATGTTCGATTTAGAAAATGATCTCCCCGACGATTTGCTATCGACAAGCTCATGGGGTACCGCAACAGAGTCGGCAAAACCTCCAGCTACGGGGCCGGGTCCCGGACAGCAAAATGGTGCTCTAGACTCGGATCTACGACACGTTGCACAGCAGCAGCAACAACAGCAGCAACAACAGCAGCAACAACAGCAACAGCAGCAGCAACAGCAGCTGCCGCATCATCTGATGCAACAAGCACAACAGGTCAGTTGTCCAAACCTGCGACAACGTTTAAATTCTAACTTCATGGTATGCATGCAACTATTCTCTCACACGCATCGGTGTCGCAAATCATCGGGACTATTTCTTATGTAGCTTGTACTCGCGCGCGATACGACAGATACGAAACAGCAACGATTAATCGATATCAATCAATCATTTTTTTCCAGCAGCAAGGGAACAAAGGTCTTGTCGCAAATTCATTAGTCATGGCCGGTAATCAACTAGGAAGCAAATCGCCGAACTTGCAATCGCCTCCGAATGTTTCGGTTTCCAAGAATTTGGGTGATCCTCAGATGGTAGTGTCTTTGGGCAATTTGCCGAGCAGCATAGCCAGCTCGCTGGCCAGCACGATGGGCGCGGGAGCGGGCACGAGCGCGCCCGGCCTGCAAACGTCGATGGCCATGCAGCATCAGCAGCAAGTCGTCAACACCGTGACGGGCAACACGCCACAGCCCTCGCCGCAGCAGCAGGCGCAAGCGGGCGGCATGCCGGGCATGAACCCCGCGGCCATGAACGCCGGATTAGTCATGACCAGCAGCGCGGCTTCGAGCAGCCAAAACAGCATGGGCAACATGGCCGGTGGCAACCTGATCGTGGCGAATTCTCTGAACAAGCCACCGCTCAACTCGGTCAGCATGATGGGCAACGCCGGAAATCCACAGCAGAGCATGCACCACGCGATGCAAAATGGCCCCGCTGGCATGCTTGGCTCGAGGGTGGCCCAGATGCAGCAGCAGCAACAGCAGCAGCAGCAGCAACAACACATGGTGGCCGGTGCCGCAAGAGGACAGAGTCCTCATCCACAACAGGTGCATCCGGTTGGAATAGGGCCAGGTGGAGCGGGCCCGAGAATGCAGGCACCAAACTTGGCCAACATGACCGGTATGGGCCAAATGGCGGCCAACTCGAGTCCCTACGGCTACGGATCGCCGGGTACGGGACCTCAAGCCACGGTCTCCGGAGCGCCCGCTGTGGCCGTTGTTCAACCCACGCAACGTCCGGTCATGAACGTGAGCGCCGCCAACGTGGCCATGCAGCAAGCCAATCGCTTCGGAACGCCAGGCGCCATGCCAGGACACTCCGGAGTATCTCTGGCCGGCACGACCGCACCTGGTCCGGCTTCGACCGGTGGCGTGCCCAACGCCCAAGACGGTGGCATGGCTCAACAGACACAACCCCCTGCTCCGAGTCCGGCACAGCCTCAGAGTGGCGCGCCCAGCGGAGGACAGCCCGGACCTCAGCAGGCCACCCAAGCTCAAGGACCAATGGGAATTGGCGGCAATCAAAGAGGCCGATCCGTTTCTGCCGATCCGGAAAAACGGAAGCTGATTCAACAGCAATTGTTGCTCTTCCTTCACGCTCATAACTGCCAGCGTAGAGAGAATGCTGCCAATGGAGAGCAGCAGTGGCAGCAGTGCACGTTGCCTCACTGTCAAACTATGAAAACAGTGTTGAAGCACATGTCCACCTGCCAATCTGGAAAAAGTTGCAGTGTTCCACATTGTAGCAGCAGTCGGCAGATCATAAGTCACTGGAAGAATTGTCAACGGATTGATTGTCCAGTTTGTTTACCGCTCAAGCAAGCCGAAAAAAACTGGCAAGGTAATGCTTTGTCGCAGTTTATTCACGCACTAGGTCAGGATGCAAGTAATTATTCATCTTTCTTGTTTATTAATGTTTGTTTTTTTCATTTCTGCATCTAGGACCATCACCTGCCAATAGCCATCAAAGTCCAAACGCTTCCGATATGAGAAAAGCTTACGATGCTCTCGGTATACACGCACCTACTTCGCAGCAATCTACCACCCCCCAACTCATGAACTCGCAAAACGTTCGTGGTCCCTTGCGTATGCCTGGGCCTGCTGGAATGCAAGCTCAACCAGGTGCTTTAGGTAACGTGAGGCTGGCTCAGAGAGACGTAACTGGTATGTTACAATTATATGTACAAAATCTCACATTGACCGCGATTGCAACTAAATTCTCACTTAATAATTTTTTATCTGTAAAGGTGTAGCCGGTCAACAAGCGGTGGGCGCGGGACAAGTAGTCGCGCCTAATGTTTCGCTTCCATTGTCATCGGATCCGTCAGCGGTTAACGTTGCCGCAAATCAATCGGCCCCAGTATCGGCTTCGAGTAACGTCGTAGTAGGTGCTGCGAACACTCCGCAATCCGTTGCAGCTGCTTCTGCAGCGCAAAGTACCGCGAACATACAGCAGCAGCTCTTTAATCTCGGAGAAGGTCAGGCACCATCAGGCTTAATGAACGACTCTGGCAGACTGGGGAACGTACAGCTACCAGCTGGATTGCAACCTGGACAGGTTACGGCAACTCCTGTACAAGGCACCAAGGAATGGCATCAAAGCGTCACACCTGATCTCAGAAATCATCTTGTACATAAACTGTAAGGAAACTATCTTGTTTTACGTGTTTACATTCTTAATACACGACTGTGATATCATTTAATTACTACTCATCTGCAACTCTTTTTAAACACTTGAAAAATGAATTAAATGAAATAATCATTGTTTTTTAGGGTCCAAGCTATATTTCCTACTCCGGATCCCCAAGCTATGTTAGATAGACGAATGCACAATTTAGTGGCATACGCTCGGAAAGTAGAAGGTGACATGTATGAGATGGCGAATTCACGTTCAGAGTATTATCATTTGCTAGCAGAAAAGATATACAAAATTCAAAAAGAATTAGGTAAGTCTTTGTCTCAAACTGTATAAAAATAAGGATAAGTTACTGAAATGTTAACCTTGTGTTTCAATTTCTTTTTTTTTTTTTTTTTTTTTCTATTTNTTAATTTTTTTTTTTTTTTTTTTTTTTTCTCTCTCTCATTATTGCAGAGGAAAAACGGCAAAAACGAAAAGAACAACAAGCTCAACAACAACTGCAAGCTCAGCAACAGCAACAACAACCAGTTTCAGCAACTGTACAAGCTGGAGCACCAAGTGCAGGTGCAAATTTAATACCACATGGTCCAGGTAGTATAGCTGGGGTTCCGCGACCACCACTATCGGGAATGCAAGCTGCTGCATCGTTGAGAAATCCATCACCAAGCATAAACCAGCAGCTTGGATCAACATTGGTTCCAGCTGGTATGCAAATGCCGCACAATAGAATGCAATTTGGGCCACAAGCTCAACAAGTACAGACTCAACAGATTCAGGTAAGTGATTGCAACATTTTTAACAACTCTCCCCACTTCTTGCGATCTAAAATTTTGTATTAACTATTCTGGTTTTTTTTTTTTTTTTTTTATTAATAGCAACAAAATATGATGGTTGGCGCTCCTGGACCTAGTCCGAATGGATCATCTACTAATACTGTGACTGCAACGTCCAATATTACATCTCAACCGGCTGGTTTTAGTCCATTTGGACCAGGACAAATATCTCAATCTGGCATGCAAACGATAACGACCACTGGAGCAGCTGTTACGACTAGTCAATTTCCTACTTCAAATGGTACTGCTGCTCTGCCTAATAGTTCTCCGATTCATACTCAGAGTCAGTTTTCTGATCTCATGAAGGTGCGACTTGCTAAGGTACACTTGAAATATTAATATGAAATAAAATTTGTCAAAAATAAATTTTTTTAAATTTTTTCATACTATCAACTATAAATGCAAATTCGTTTTTTATTTTTAGGCTGCACAAGCAGTTCAACAACAAGGTCAACCAACTAGTGTGCCTGGTGCGATGCCACAAGCTTTATCACCTTTTGGTATACAACAACAAGCTGGACAACAACAGCAGCAGCAACAGCAGCAACAACAACAACAGCAACAACAACAACAACAACAACAGCAGCAGCAACAACAACAGCAACAGCAGCAACAACAACAGCAGCAGCAGCAGCAACAACAACAACAGCAGCAACAACAACAGCAGCAACAGCAACAGCAGCAACAGCAACAGCAGCAGACATTCCTGAATAGACCCATGCAAACTACGACTCCAAATGACAATGGAATATCTGTATCTACTCCCCAAACGATACCACCTCCAGCTTCAAGTGGACCGAGTCCATTGCCCAATGGACCACAGTCAACGCCTAGTACACCACTCGTTCGTTCATTAATGACACCAGATCAGGTAAATTACATTTTACCAATTATATTATAATTTACTAGTCACTTTGCAGCGAAATTCGCGCGCCCTTAATTCTAAATGTTTTGTATCGCGAATCGCTTACATCTTCTATAGGAAACTGAATCGAAACGCGCAGCATGCAGTCAATAAACTAAAAACTGATACATTTCGCCGAGCCATTCTACAATCAATCAGAACGCGTATAAAGTACTCACGCTGTATAGCACAGTAATTTCATAAAAGGGGATACTATTCAATAAAATTATAATTTATTAAATAATAAAAAAATCGATTGAACACAAATGCAAATCAGTTGAAAACCTATACAGTTCTTTCAAATATAAATAGAAAAGCGAATATTATAAACAATTGAGCATTCAACATTATTTTATTCACCTAACCTAATATGTATCAACATCATTTTTTAATTAATGGAAGACCACGTTTTCTTAGACTTGACTGCAACCTATCTCATTTTTTGTAAACAATACTATTTTGAATGACTGTAACTCATCAATATTCTTAGTCTTCTAATGTGTTTAATTCCTTAATAACTAAACGAAAATTAAAAATGTCCATTCATCGGTATCCAACGAATTTTTTATTCATCATGATCTTAAAAATGCTAAGATGCATGTATATTTGTGCGATATTTTTTTGAAAACAGTGCTAAACCACACTGCGAAAAACAAAAAACCCCTACTACTGCACGTGTTTATCGGTCGCTAATTGCACGTGTCCTGGACTTTGTTTTTCGCGGCCTAGGGCAGTAATACTATTTTGTGACTAGTGAATTGTGAAAGTTTGCACATATCCTTTGTGTAGTTAGAAATGGTTTTTACACAAATTTTTCTATTAGGTGGTTTCTGCCAATCAAACTCCTCCTCATCCTGGCACCACACCATCTCCTGCTGGACTTGGTAAAGGCATGAGTTCTCAAGAACGTGCAGCTCTTAATGCACCTCGACAGTCGTCAATGTCGTCACAAATGGCTGCCATAACTGCGGCTTTAGATCGGGATAATTCTCCAAGCCCTACCAATGGTGGAAAGAATAGCAATAGCAAAGGCAAATTAGAAATAAAAGAAGAAATAAAGTCAGAAATGGACCAAGATGAGTCTAATGCGAGTGCAACGGAAAGCAGTGGTGGTAAAAACACAAATAATGATATGATTAAAACTGAAATAAAACAAGAGCCAATGGATGAAAGTGGCGACATGCCTGTTGGTGGAGTGAAAAAGGTTTGTTATTATAAAAAATTAACTTTTCATTACCTCTTTTTAAATCTGCATTTTGTTTTTTTTACAACGCATTTATCAAAACAATAAATCCAAAACTATATTTTAGGAGGAAATCAAAGACGAAATAAACAGTGATGCATCAAGTAGTGATATTAAACCAACCATGCCAGAGCCCATAGCTCCAGCAAGCACAGACAAGAAACCCGTCTGTTTATTTAAACCAGATGAGTTACGACAAGCTTTAATGCCAACGTTGGAAAAACTATTTCGTCAAGATCCTGAATCCTTACCTTTTAGACAACCAGTGGATCCTCAAGCCCTTGGAATCCCAGATTATTTTGAAATAGTAAAAAAACCAATGGATCTCTCAACAATTAAACGAAAACTTGACACGGGCCAGTATAGTGATCCATGGCAATATGTTGATGACGTTTGGATGATGTTTGACAATGCTTGGCTGTACAATCGTAAAACTTCAAGAGTTTATAGGTCTAGCACTAAGTTATCAGAAGTTTTTGAAAAAGAAATAGATCCTGTAATGCAAGCTCTTGGCTACTGTTGCGGTCGAAAATACACGTTTAATCCTCAAGTATTATGTTGTTATGGTAAACAGCTGTGCACAATACCAAGGGATGCTAAGTACTTCTTATATCAAAGCAGGTCAGTAAAATACAATATCATTTTGTGACTTTTAATTTACATAAAAAATTGATTTTCAAATACTTAACATTTTGTTATTCTATTTTGTTTCTCTTTATGTTACTACAAATACATCTACGTAAATCTGCATCTGGATACAAATCGCACAAAATGCATTTGACTACTGCTCTCCAAATCTTTTTGTATTTTGTCATGGCAACTTTTTGGTGGACATCTACACATTCTTATTAAAATGATCGTTATAAAAAAATTATACAATTTTTCAATGGATTTGATTCGTGCTAAATAGTAGTTCACCGCAGTATGGTCTTGTTTCTACTGATAGATACATCTACTGTACAAAATGCTTTAATGAAATTCCCGGTGACACCGTGACGTTAGGTGATGATCCAACGCAGCCGCAAACGTAAGAACAATTTACATATATCATTTGTGTACATATGATAAGAATAGTGAGACTGACAACTTTTTGATTTTTCAGTATAATCAAAAAAGAAGACTTTGTAGAGATGAAAAACGATCATTTAGAAGCTGAGCCATTCGTTACATGTTCCGATTGCGGAAGAAAAGTACATCAAATATGCGTACTTCATACCGAGCAAATCTGGCCACAAGGCTACACCTGTGATAATTGTTTAAAAAAGAAAGCTGGAAAGCGCAAAGATAACAAGTTTACCGCTAAGAGATTACCAGTGACAAAACTTGGCACTTATATAGAGACTCGAGTAAACAACTTCTTGAAAAAGAAAGAGGCTGGTGCAGGCGACGTAGCCATACGCGTAGTAGCCTCAAGTGATAAAGTAGTCGAGGTTAAACCTGGCATGCGTAGTCGATTTGTTGAAAATGGTGATATGTCTCCAGAGTTTCCATATCGAGCGAAAGCTTTGTTTGCATTCGAAGAAGTCGATGGGACTGACGTTTGTTTCTTCGGTATGCACGTACAAGAGTATGGAAGCGAGTGTACGCCGCCTAATACACGGCGCGTTTATATCGCTTACCTCGATTCTGTGCACTTTTTCCGGCCACGACAATTTAGAACTGCCGTGTACCATGAAATTCTTCTTGGTTATCTTGATTATGCAAAACAGCTGGGATATACGATGGCACATATTTGGGCCTGTCCGCCAAGTGAGGGCGACGATTATATCTTTCACTGCCATCCTCTCGATCAAAAAATACCAAAGCCTAAAAGATTACAAGAATGGTATAAAAAGATGCTTGACAAAGGCATTATCGAAAGAATAGTGCTGGATTATAAGGTGAGTAGTTCAATTGTCAAAACAATAATTATTTCAATATTGATTATTCCTTTTTGTTTTACCTTGAACCAATTTATCCTTAACTTTAAAAAAGTTAAATTTGTACAGTAAAATTTTGTATTATTTTTATTCTGTAATCATTTATTAACAATGAGGGCCTACATTACTCATTGGCAAATTAATTATTTAATACATTCCATTTGAATAAGTTCATTTCCTTATTTAATCTAACCATAATTTTAATTTTGATTATTAGGATATACTGAAGCAAGCTCAGGAAGATAATTTATCATCTGCTGCTGATTTGCCGTACTTTGAAGGTGACTTTTGGCCTAATGTACTAGAAGAAAGTATTAAAGAATTGAATCAAGAAGAGGAGGAGAAACGGAAACAAGCTGAAGCTGCCGAAGCTGCAGCTGCAGCAAATGCGGTACGTTTTAGAATATTATTTTTTTTTAAATATATTTCTATTCATTGTATTATCTCAAAGATTATTTTTATTTCATAATTTTAATAATTGCATTGACTGTCACAGACATATCCACATTCTGAAGATTCAGAAACCGGACCTGACGGCAAGAAAAAGGGCCAGAAAAAAGCGAAAAAGTCAAATAAATCTAAGGCCAACCAGCGAAAAAATAGTAAAAAGTCCAATAACCCTCAAATTGGAAATGATCTCTCTGCTAAGATTTTTGCTACCATGGAAAAGCATAAAGAAGTATTTTTCGTAATTAGGTTACATAGTGCTCAAAGTGCAGCAAGTCTAGCAGTAAGTTATTTTTAATTATTCAAAACCTTATCAATCATTCTAGTGTTGTTTGATTTTGCCACTTCGAGACAGGTTGCTGGAGTGAGAGAAGAGATAGAGAGCGAAAGCGCGTTAAATTATTATGAATATTGGTCATTGTTCTTTAGTAAAGTCTAGTCAGTGATCCGTTATTTATTCAAAGCAAAGAATCTTGTTATCTCTATTTATCGTTATACTCAATCCAATAATAGAGCTTTTGAGCCCGCACTTTACAACAGTTAATAACCAATCGTGATTTTTTTTATTAAAATTGACTTGTTACTAAGAAAGGTGCGTCTACGCTTTGATTTCATTTTTGTTGCATATAGTTAGTAATTCGTTTGCAAATCATTGCGTCGTATTCTTTTACTTGGCTCGCAGTGGCATCAATTATTATAATCGTTAATGTTAACTTGTGTATTTGTTTTTTTAGCCCATCCAAGACCCTGATCCCATACTCAACTGTGATTTAATGGATGGCCGTGATGCTTTCCTTACTCTAGCTAAAGAAAAACATTATGAATTCTCGTCTTTGCGAAGAGCAAAGTTCAGTTCAATGTCTATGTTATATGAGCTTCATAATCAAGGGTCTGAGAAATTTGTATACACGTGCGATAAATGTAAACAAAGTGTTGAGACTCGATACCATTGCACAGTATGCGATGTAAGTACCCTGCTCCATTATTGTATCTATAAATTCGTTATAATACTCGATATAAATTTTTCCATGTATTTTTACAGGACTACGATTTATGTCAAAGTTGTAAGAAAATTCAGGGTCATGCTCACCCGATGGAGAAGCTTGGTTTGGATTTGGATGATGGTTCATCGCCGGCCGATGCTAAACAAGTCAATCCAGTGGTACGTTTCGTATATCTATTGCTTTATTGTTGTGTATTCAAATTAAATTGTTTTTTAATGTTACTCGTGCAAATTGGAAAAAAATTGACCAATGATATTTTGCATATAATAAAATGCTTTTATCCATTTTTATTATGAATGCACATTTATGAAAACTTAAAATAACAACGTGAACTCTTGATTACAAAAATATTAATAAGAGTTTAGTGCTTTCTTTTCCAATTCAAAATTATCTAAAATGGCAGAAAAGGTGGCTTTCTTGCGCAAAAGTCAATAATATCATAAAAGTGTCTATTCTGTGACCACAGCGCATGCGAAAACGTATATTGCATAAATACATATTTTAGTAAAAATCTATAATATCATCTTATTTAAAAGGTTTTGCAAATCATTGTCGACCTTTTATGTTGTTTTAGATACTTTTGAAGTAAACAAAGATGGCATAATCAAACGAAATTATTTTTCAATGTTCATCCGAATTACAATATCTAATAAATTTATTTTACATTTTAGGAAGCGCGCAAATTTTCGATACAAAGGTGCATACAATCGTTAGTTCACGCGTGCCAATGTAAAGATGCGAATTGTCGTTTGGCCAGTTGCGCTCGGATGAAACGGGTGGTAACGCACATCAAGACATGTAAACGTAGAACTAGTGGTGGATGTCCGATCTGTCGCCAGTTAATAGCCCTGTGTTGTCATCATGCTAGGCATTGTAATGAACCTGTGAACAAATGTCCGGTGCCTTTCTGTTTCAACATTAAACATAAGTTAAGGCAACAACAACAACATCAGCGTTTGCAGCAGCAACAATTATTGAGGCGTCGAATGGCTGTGATGTCAAATACACGACCGACCGAATCTCCAATGAGTACTGCTGCTGTAGTGCCAGTTAATACTGGTTTAGGTGCACCCATGAAACCAACTATAAATCCAAGTGGTATAGCACCCAGTCATCATCATGCTGGAATCGGTATGAAACCAGGCACACAAACGCCACCGGCCAATGTATTACAAGTTGTTAAGCAAGTTCAAGAAGAAGCTGCTCGCCAACAAGCGCCTCATGTAGGCTTTGGGAAAGTCAGTCCATCCGCGGCGGCGGTTCAACCAACTGGTGTAATGCCGCCACCGCAAATGCAGCGGCCAATGCAAATGCAAATGGCTAATCCTCCGGGGACACATTTGATATCTATGGACCAATGGCAATCAAAGTAAGTCTTTTTTGTCAAATATTTTTTATTTCGTGGTATTTGTCAACTTATTTTTTAATCAAATTATTCATACGATTTTAAAAAATTTAAAATAATTTATTCGAATTTCTATTTGGCATTCGTAGCGTGCACGGATAATATTTCCGTCAATTATTCTCGAATAATACTCGAAAATACCTAAACATTTTGAATTAAACCAAATAAGAATTAAATTCAAATAGTACATTTTTTGAGAAAAGATGTTTAACTATATTTGTCAAGATTTTTGGATTTATCACAAATATACACAAATAGCTGTTTACGCTACGGTCGCCAAATCGATAAATCCATTATTTATACCATCCTAACGATTATTTACATCCTAATTTTCATATTAAATACCTCATTGTTTCCACCTTGCGCATGAAGAGTAAAAGTCGAATTGGTAGAACCGTGTAGAAAAAGAAAACGCGAAGACACGCCAACTTCGCCGACTTTCGGACGTTTGCCGAAGAAACAAAGAACCAAACAAGAAGAGCGTATTTTTTGACAAGTAAACACCCATCCTTCTTTCCTTTTAAATCCATTCATCTATTCATTTAGTAACGAATTTTTAATAAAGAATTTTAGTTCGATCGAGATTAATTGGATCAATTATTAGCACTTATTAATTCTTTCTATTGATGTTTAATGAAATTTAACTATTTCCAGCAACCAAATGAACTTCCGGTATCAGCCCAACGCCTCCGTGATGCAACAAAATGCTGCTATTCTTCGTACTCAGGCTCCCCAACTCTTGCAGCAAGCTCAGCAAGCTCAACAGCAACAACAACAGCAGCAGCAGCAGCAACAACAACAACAACAGCAACTGCAACAACAGCAGCAGCAACAACAACAGCAGCAGCAACAACAACAACAGCATCCTCAGGCTCAGCAGCCTGGAATGGGTCCAGTGCCAGGACAAATGAACCCACGTCAGGCTGCTGGTGTATTAGGAGGTGCTACCGCAGCGCAAGTTCCCAATGTAGCTGGTAAGCAAGCTTTGCAGCAGCTGATGCAGACATTGAAGAGTCCAAATACGCCTGAACAGCAGAACCAAATATTACACATACTCAAAAGCAACCCACCGTTGATGGCTGCTTTTATCAAACAGCGGCAGGTACGTGTGGATTTTAAAAATCTATAAATAATTTTTTTAGTGCACGTGTTATAATTTTTCTTTTTTAATAAAAACTAGAATGGCATAGCGCTGTCTCGACGGATTAATTTAAATCCTAAGTTTTTATCTAAGCAGGCACTATCAATGCAACAAACAGGCCAACATGGCCAAGGTGCTACCGGTGCCATGATTCCTAGTCAAGCTCAACAGCAACAACAACAACAGCAGCAACAACAGCAGCAACAGCAGCAACAACAACAACAGCAGCAACAAGGGTTGCATATGATGACACCTCAACAACAGCAGGGCCGTATGCAAATACAAGCTCTTTTGAGTCAACAGCAGCAGCAACAACAACAGCAGCAGCAACAGCAGCAGCCGCCACAACAACAACAGGCTGGTCAGCAGCAAGCACCAAATATACAACAGCAACAACAGCAACAACAACAACAACAATGGCTCATTCAGCAGCAAATGCTTATAAGGCAAAAGCAAGCACAAGCGGCTGCAGCAGCTCAGGCCGCGGGAAATCAACAACAATTTCAGCAACCCGTAGCACCACCGTATGGACAACAAAGACCCATTAGGCCACCACCTATGCTCGGTAAGTGATCCAATTTCAAATCTAGGGACATTCATATTCAATTGCGTCGTTGTAAAATTATTTATTAAATTATATAAACATGATATTAACTTGTGTATTTCTTTTTTAGGTGGTTATAGTAATTTTGGTGATCAAGGTTATGGGCAATCAGGTCTTAAACCCACTCCTGCACCGGTACCATCGCCTCAAGGGGTAATGGGCCCTCCAGGAATGTCAGCAGTACAGCAACAACTTATGCAAGTCAGATCACCACCACCAACACGCTCGCCACAACCAAATCCTTCGCCGCGACCGGTACCGTCTCCGCGCAATCAGCCAGTACCATCGCCTCGAGCTAATCCTGTACCTTCACCTCATCATCATCCTGGTGCAGGAGCGTCACCAGCCCACGAATTGGGTGGCCCCAGTGAAATGATGTTGTCGCAGCTATCGCAAGTTACGGGTGCTTCTGGTGGTATTATTGGTGCACCGTCGCAGGCACCTGGTGCTGGTCCCGGTCATCCGGCTATGGGCCATCATCAATCACCCGTAGGACCTGGTGCTGAACAAGGCGATCCCACGCCGATGACGCCCCAAGATCAACTGTCAAAGTTCGTCGAGGGCTTGTAGTGACTCTTTTTACTATTATATCTCTACGAGAATTATTTTTATTACTTCAGTCGCTACCGTTTATTAATTTTCATGACGAATGCAATGATAGTGGCCCAAATACACAAAAGAGATGTAACAATCTCTTGAAACCTGTATAGTTTATACATATTATAAATATAATTATATTAGTACCGCGTATAGCACTGCGTGTGAGCGTGCATCGACACGGGCGGATGATAATCATCGACTTTAAGCATCCCTCCGCTATATGTTTATGTATAGAGATAATTGATTAATACATTTTTTAAAATCTACCTATGAACGATGCCTATATATAAATAATAACTCAATTTCTCTCCTACTGACTACTGATACTTTTGTATTGGAAAGTCTACTCGATGTTTGAAAACCCCCGCGCTCGACAGATGATTGATTCTCTCGATTATACATATTATATATAAATATATAAATAGTTAAATAGATTATATACGAATATAGGCGTGTAAACGTTATTGCGACTGTAATGCAATTGCAACGTTTGTATGAGAGTGATATAAATATATATAAATATATATGATGAAAGTTTGTCGTTTTTATGTAAATGTATGTGTGCGCGATTGAATAAAAATGATATCGATCATGAATATGAAGAATACGGCGATAAACAATAGTACGGTCAGGGGGTTTGTATTGTAGACGACGGAGCTTTTTCCTATATGGTTGAGAACTCAGTTCAATTAATTAAAACGGGAATCGAACGTGAGGATAAATGATTTTATATCAACAAAATAGATATGTATATCGATACATATATGTATGCAATCATTGGAGTGCGCGCGCATGCTTAAACTGTCCAGCTATATGTACACATATATTATAAAAAATGATCGATAAGTAAATGACTTTTAAATCGAAACCGCGAAAATTTAATAGTGTATACAGTGTAAATGAAAATTCAAGAGAGAGAAAGTACGAGTAGGAGTTGGCACTAGCAGTGCTGCTCCTTGTATTATTAATATTATCATTATCATTATATTATTATTACGATTATTAGTATGATTAAATTATTTTTATTATTACTATTATTATTTCTATCATCATTATTATTATTGGTAGTAGGAGTAAAAAAAACTTATTACCTATTATGATTATTATGAATTATTATATTATTTTGATTATTATGTAGTTATAAGATTTGGAACTTCCCATCTTAATTGTCACTGACACAAACTGTCTATTTGTAATATTTAAGTGCGAAAGCTAGTGCGATTTTTTATTGAATATTATACATGAATAAATGAATATTAAAAATAATATTATAAAATTTTCCGACTCGTGTCCTCTATTTATTAATTTTTCTATATTATACATACACGCATACACATGTACACATGCAAGTTTATGTTTGTTTGCGCGTATGTAACATCACATGAGTTGAATAGTACATGCATACTAAATATTCTCCTATACACATTTATAGATATGCTCATCATTGTCATTATTTAAATAAAAGTTATTTTTTCTGAAGCTACTTTGGTTTAGCTCTAAATTATAAATATAAATATATAAATATAAATATATGTATAGATAGCGATAGGCGCAAGCTTAAGTAAAAATCGTACAAATCGTGTTGTGTATACTTAAAAATAAATTAACGGAATAATTAAGATAAATACTATTACATTACTAGCGTAAATGAAATAAACGGTTGCTTCATCCGTACTTTTCACAAGGACACGACGACGATAATCCGCGTTGTTTATCAATGTAGCTTCAAAGCAGCTATTACCATTTAAATTAATCTGTATTATAAATTTTAAGGTGATAAATGTTATAAAAGAAGGAAGAAATGAGTGAATATATACAAATAATTGTTTTACTTTTTCGTTTGTACATGTAAAACATGAGTGCGAAAACCATTTTGTAATTGAATATTATATATGCAATGATGTATAGTTAGATAAGCAATTCGCTCTATGCAATGTGTTTTTACTGGTGTAAGATTGATGAGCCCAATATTATAGAAAATATATTATTACGTAAAAGGAGTAAATTATGAAAACATTCGTTGAATACTACGAACAATATGATACTCTATTATTGGCAATTATTATTGACATTAGTTCTTGAACGGTGTTAATAAATAAGCAATGTGATTTAAAACGTGTAGCTGGTAACGTTTCAACAAGAAAAAAAATAAGAACAATGTGATTTTACGCCATAAAGATATTAAGATCAACGATTAAAACGTATTAAAAAAAATAAGCGTAAAATCCTTTAAATATCTCATCGAAAATAAATCTAGTTAAATCAAATGAGAGTTTGTGATGAACGAATACAAGAATGAAATTTCGGTTATTCAATTAATTCAGAGAAACGAAAAAAAATACATTTATCTGAATTATTAACTTGTACAGTATAGTCGTGTATATTTGAAAATGCTTTATCAAGATTACACAAAGTGACAAGTATGAAATATTATTTTTTCTCTAAAGTTTAACTTCTGGTTGTACTTGTTTGTGTATATGTTTGTGCATACGTGTGCATGGTGTGTTTGCGTAATGTAAAGACAAAAAAAGTGGACTAAACCGTGCAGCATCCAACTTTTGCAATTTTTATATAGAAAAGAAAACTGAAACTTTCTCTCTCTTTTGAATAAATGAGCGTTTATATAGGATATAAACTAAGTTTTTTAACGAAAATGTTTGCGAGTGAGAGAGATTCTCTTGGAGAAAGTGTTCAATATATGAAAAAAAAATTATTGTGTGTATTTTTAGTGACGGTTTTGGTAAAAAAAGAAAAAAATAATCAATTGAAATCGAAGAAAAGACAATTTTTTATTTCATTAGCTACATGAAATAAATGGAACGTTTGAATCATGAAGAATGGTCGATAGTTCGAAGCGAGGAGAATCGCGTAACTTAATAACGAGGGAGAGAACGAAAAACGACAAGTGTGGAAAAATGACACACTGCTATATATTATACATAAAGAAAAAATTGCAGATTAAAGCAAAGCGCGCGCTCATATGATCCCAGGAAGAAAAAAAAATTCGTACGTTTATTATCACGTCATAAAGAAACTCTGTAAATATTTAAAAGAATAACTATGATTACAATAATAATAATTATTATTAATAATAAATTTCCACTATTTTTCAAATTGATTCATCCTGCCCCTCTTATTTAGCTATAAAGACGCACTGCCCGATATGCAGATGAGCTTTTTTTCTTACAATTTTTGCTGTATGAGTTATTTGATCGAGATACACGAAGCGCATCTTGAACAAAAAATAAAATATTTGACTCTAGTCGGTTAATAATCATAGATTTTCTTGGAAATGCGATGATTTTTTGCTTTCGATAAGCGACTTGTAACAACGTCGAATGTAGTTCGAAAACTTTTTATTCGGAATTATTATTACTCGGTGCTCTCGTACGCGCAGATAAATCGTCTGATTTTCTCCGTTCCGTCATGTTCGATGAAAATCAGTGGATTTTTTATCCAGCGAACTTGCGAACGTAAATCATGCTACAATGCAAATGTGCTCGCTGCTGCTGGATGACTCTCGCCTCATTTTTGGGTATATATATAATTAATCGAGTCATTCGCTCCGCAGATGAGTCCAACTCCGCACAGGCGTGCGATCAAGCTCGCGCGCCCATGGGAGCTTGCAAACTCAACTTCATCGCGGCGCAGTGGATTCGAAAATAATCTCAGGTTAAACTTTTCGCCGATGCTGGTAAAAAAAATCATTGAAAATCAGCCGGTGCGCGCGAATTTATCGAGACTCGGTATATCGCGCGAAGATAGGGCAGCTTTTGGTATTGCGTGCGGCTGCGGTGGCGGTGTGGGGTGGTGGTGCGTTCCCGAAGTCGAGACAGTCCTAACTGCAGAGCTGCTGTACCAAGAGTGACTGAGTCTGTGTAGTACTACGTCATCGTCGTTAAAGCTCTGCGCATGTCCCCACCTCCCTTTTTGCTGTCGTCGTCGTCGTCGTCGTCGCAAAAGTCGCTCAGCGAAAACTGCAAAGCAGCAGCAGCAGCAGAGCGAGCTTAGCGGAGTCGAGTCAGTAGTAGCAGTAGCAACGCTGAACACGGTCGGTAATACGGTGTGTATACACAGACGTCGAGACTGCGAGAGCCAGAGGGAAATATATCGAAGCTGTGTGCTTCTATACGCCGCGGATTGGCAGAGTCGCGGCCCCGACACAACGAGCCAAGACAGAGAGGGAGAGAGAGCCTTTTACTGCTCTCAGCTTTCTGCTATTCTCGGAGAAAACACTTAAAATTCGACGGTCGGCTGGCCGAGAGAGAGAGAGAGAGAGAGAGAGAGAGAGAGAGAGCTTTTCTCGTCGCTCCTGCTAATAAAGTGTGCGTGTACGCGAGAGAGAGAAAGAGAGAGCTGCTGCTACTGCTGAAAGTCACATGTACCATTAAGCTATATCATACCTAGACGAAGGGGCGCTGCAACAACTGCGCTCACACGCATGATAAAGAGAAAAAGAAAAAAAACACAACAACGGAGCTATAAAATACGGTGCGTTGAGTGAGAGCGACGACGACAACTGCACGGTATAAACTTTGAAAACAGCAGCACTGGCAACTGGCAACTTTTAGCAACGGCAGCAGCAGCAGCAGCAGCCGCAGCACTGCCAGATTAGATATTGCCTCGTGTGTATCTCTCTTTATTGTATACGAAGAATCAGATTCAATAACAGTGCAACAACGATGTGCGGCCGAAAGTCTGCGGCAGCGGCGTGGCTTTTCTAGCGTCCCCTCGGTCACTTGTCTACGGACGCCCCAGCTTCTAGCCAGCTTTAACGTAAGTGTCTCGTTATTCTTACTATATAATAGCGTTAGGCACATTTTCTTCTATGCAGTCATCGGCACCGAAGTAAAGAAAATAAACAAACGATGTCTATTTCTCGTAACCCTCGTGTGCGTTGATAATGATGTGCGAAGTCGCACAGTGCATCGAACGTCGTTGCGCAGCGCACTCGTTTGAAAGTATAATCGCGGCCCCTGCGTGCACGCGACTTTTTATGTATTATATTCGCACGCGGAACGTGTGCAGTGCCATTGACTTCGCATCGAGGAAAACAAACAACGAGATTGCAGCGAGTCGTGTGTTGCTCGGCGATCGAGTCGATACGTATCATACGCTCGAACTTTTATACTTTTTTGTGTAATGGAAAACGACCTCGGGCTTGCTGCAAGCTCTTGACGAGTTGCGGGCGAATAGAGAAAAAAAGTCGCAACTTTGGACGTTTTTCGTAGTCGTCGTGGTCGTGTCGTTATAGTCGTGTGTGTCGGATCGATCGACTATGCGTGCAGTAGTAGCTGTACACACGGAGACTCTCTCTCTCTCTCGAGGGAGTTATAATACACATACACGCGCTCCGCAACCATATACGTATATAAGACACACGGCTACATGGACGCACTGCACAGCAGCAGCGAGGCTCACGTGTTCGCCGCGACTCTCTGCCGCAGTCGGTAAATTCTCGAGTCTTTCTCTCTCTCACATTCTATATATAGCGATGTACACGTGCGAAGCTGCGAGGGAGCTTCTCGATATATAAATATAGAATTTCACACTCGATCTTTGCGTCGCGAGGAATCCTAGGCTGGATCGATACTCGCCACAAGCCATGTAGCCATGAGCTGCCGAAAGCGCGACGAAAGCGAGCTTTTTTTCTGACGAGAGCTTCGATCGTGGACACACGTGCCCGCGCGCTGCTGCCGATGGAATTGATGCAGCAGCGCGGCCCTGCTGCGGATCGACCAATTGCGCAACTATTACGTGGACGCGAAGCGCTTTTTCCGTCGCGTGTAAAGCTCTGCGGCGAGGCAGAATCGATTCGCTCGAAAAGTCGACGCGTGCGACAAAAGTAACGAGGTTCGCGCTATTGCACGACTCATCGATGAACGACGCGTGAGTAATTCAATTCTTCATGTGATAATGTTCACGCGAATTTTCAAAACTCATAGCTAATATCTTTGTTTTCTTCTAAAAAGACGTATTCGATATTTTTCCACCGAGTCGAAGAAAACAATTTTGGGGAGTGCCTAGATTGGTTTCAAACAACAAGAAAACATCGCAGCCGCCCATACCAGCTGCCATTGTATCGAAAGAACTATGAAGGCATTGGCCTCGTAAAATCACCCCTGCGTGACGTTGTTCCACGTAATAAGAAAAATCTCACAACCGATCGATTCCAAAAATATTACGCTCGCAATAACTTAGCGAATCGCCAATTTGGCTGGTCGCTCTCGCGTGACAAAACCTCGACGTGTGCATGCGTGTCTGTGCCGAAATGATCGACAGAAATGATTATCGCAGGATAGAGCTTCACGCGAGACTTAAAATAGCATTAGGCGCGCTTATCAAACGATGGAGCAGCGAATGAGCTCGTCCTCTCTTGCGCGCGGAAGCGATCAACCTTCGGTGCTATGAGCAACTTCATCGCCTTGACGCTCCAAAAGTTATATATATCGAATAAAGATGCAGCGTCACGCGTACACAAGTATCGAAAATTCGCCAGATATATATAAACGAAAATCAATGGTCAAGTTCAAGTACGCGTCTCGTGCAGTGTGACTGGCGGCAGAGCCCGCGGCCAGTGGCTGCACGCTCTCTCTCTCTCTCTCTGCATACTAGTGTGCAAGTAGCAAAGGCATATTATATACAAGATGCATCATCAAGCTGCTGCAGGCCGCAAGCACGTGTGTCGATGTGTGCGCGACAGAGGCTATTATACGTAGAGTCGCGAGACACTAGACAACGACGACGAAGCGAGCTGCCTGCATCGTCGCGCCGCGTCGACACACGGTATAGTGCTGCTGCACAAATTTTGGAGGCTCGCCAAACGATCCGTGCAGCAGCAGCAGCAGCAGTAGTAGCACCACCGAGAGCGCGACTTTGCGCAAGCGACCTTGACAATTTTGCGAGAGCGAGCGAGAGCTTTCAACCATAGTCGACTTACACACAAAAGCCGCGAGCGCGAATTCTTCCGACAGATACGCGAGCTGCGATTGTTAACTCGCGCGAACTTTTTTGCCCGAAAGCAAAGCAAAGGCGCCGTATTATTCATCGATACTTTTGATGGTCGCGACGTGGGCGAGTCCCGCCGCCGACTTTGTCTCCGGAAAAAGCTCCGAGATCGTAAATCCTGGACCCTTCCGCTGGAAGTATCGCGACGACTCGTAGCCGAGCACGTGGGCATGCCTATGTAATAGCGTATATATACGTAGATGTGCGCGAGATTCGAATTCGCGCGCAGCATTTAATATTATATATATACATACACACGCATTGGTATAAAGCTCGACGGCGGCAGCGTGGGCCGTGGCGGCGGCGACAACTGCGGCAACTGTATAATACAATCGTGACGTAATTTCAATACATACCAACTTCATAATCTCTCCTTCGATTGCGCTGTCTATAATAATTATTTTTATCGGCTGTAACGATCAAACATCGAGTTCTCTTGTCTTTTCTGTGTGTTTTTTTTCTTCGTGTACAAAAAAAAATTAGCATTTCTTCGAGCGTGAAAGAGAGCGATCGTCAACGTCGTCGTAGGCGCCTTATCTCTCTGCTGCTGCCTTTCCAGTCGCCGTTTTGTATTATAACGAAAGATATCGAATCTTTTATCGCTCTATAAAATTGCCTCGTGCACTCGGCGACTTGATCCCAAATCACAGTTCGCTACTAAGTTTCATCGAAAGTTCGTATAATAGCTCGCGCGCTTAGCTTCTGCACACGCACGAGCTTAACTAGTCAGTGACAGCTTTTTTTTTACGGATTCGCTGCTACTGCAGCTAGGAAGGAAGTTTTTTTAATCGTTTGGTTTTCTATTCGAATATCTAAACCGGCTTTTCTTCCTTCTCGACTCGTGATTTTGGACAACATGGATCTCGTAAGTGTTTGCTTTGCTTTTTTACATTATTATCCGTTATTATTCTCGTCGTGACTTTTCACGAATCTTCAAGTGCGCGAGATCGTTGATCGGTGGCATGCATTCCCGCCAATCGAATTCGCTCCAAGCTCTACTATCGCTTGCCCCTATGATAATACTTTTCTCTGTCTCCCTCTCTCACTGGCTGCACACGCGCAAAGATATAAATAGCTTATTAAATATTAAATACGAGAGATAAAAGTGGGTATAATATCTTTCGTATCGGGTGCGCGCGAACTGATGCAGTCGCGATGCAGAAAATGAATTACGACGACGATGGCATGCGCTCATTGTGTCTATATACAATTGATATTTGCACAGAGATTCGTACGATGGAGAGTACTACACCACTCGACTAAAAGCTCTCGTATCATATACACTATACTTTCGAGAGAGTAATTTCGTGCCGGTGTAACGCGAAACGTACATACAGCACGGACTTTTCAGTCATGGCCATTTGCAGTATTGCAATCGTAGAAATTCGTTTGTACGTATAGGCACGTCGATTGTTTATAGATGAAAAATAAGCGCGCTTAATCCAAGCGCACATTCAGTAGTTAATCCGCAAGGCAAATGCACGAACACGAACGTGCGAAATTCAGTGAACAAAGTGTTGTTGGCAAAATTTTTATCACCATCCTGTACTGTGAATTTGTCCTGATATAATAGTTGAATCGTTAACGAGAGACGTTTCACTGCGGAATGATTAGTAAAGCTCGATTTCAAAAATGGCATGCTTTCATTGAATGTTCGTGATTGCAATTTTTATTTTAAAATACAACTGTGCACGATACAACGTGGAAACAAATTTTATAAAAAAAAAAAAAGAGAAGCCAAAACGTAGATATCGAATTTTGTTATTTTACACGTTTTTGGGACGAGCTTAATTGCGAGTTGTTTGCGCAGAAACTTATGAAAAACGTTACGTTAGAGTCCAAAAGAGCAAACGGGGTCGAATCGCGAGTTCGCCAAAGTGCGTTTATGAAGTACAGCACATATTGCACGAGCAATTACATTCGTTGGCTTTTGACGTTAATGAGCGCGCCCGCGAGGCACGTACATAGCATATCGTATTTAGGATTCATAATATAATACCCAGAAAATACGTCAAGAGACACACGGAAGAAAAACAGCGAAAACATATATAATATAATATGCGATGACGACGTCGACGATGATCATCATCGTTGGCCGCCTTTTTTTAGAACGCGCGGCACGATTTTAAGAGACTTTCGCGTTAATAACTTGCCGATAATCTGCCGAGCTGTGAAAGATTTTTCGCGCGGCGCGAGCCCAACACTTTATTATTATTATAATTATTATTATTAAATATTAAATATTAAATACGATTTGCTCGTAGCATTAGTGACGCTCGACTTGAGTGCTATTCGAATCAGCCTCGTTACTCGTCCATGCGTGAATGTATAGAAATTATCGTCGTTACGAAAATTGATCGATACTGCGCCGACTGTTGACCCTTTTTTTTCGTAATCGTGTCACACGTACGCCGTGTAATAACTACTTGGATTTTTCTTATCTGTAGCGGCAATCATCGCATCTGAGAAGAGACTCCAAATTTGTTCAGACGATTCAATTAGTGCCGGCAATAATTTACTGTTTGTTTTGTTTTGCTTTGTTCTTTCTTTTCATCGTCACGCGTACACTCGAAGAAAAAGGCACCTACAACACACTGATCTGGTGCTAAAAAAAGGTACTCGTCGCTCGATGTAATGCTTCCGCGCGCGAAATTCGACGTACGAGAGAGACTGTATATCTGCTACCGTTGGCCTTGCTTAATTTTCGTTTTTTTCTTTCTTTTTTTTTTATATAAAAATAAAAAAATCGTATATGAGCAATTCTCTAA